AGGAAATTAGTGGCAATATTTTTCTGATGGCCATCGTGAATCTATTTTTGAACACACGCCTTTTTATGATTTCTCAAATGAGAGCTACCATTGTTAGTATCACCACCAAGAACCTTACGACAATACTTGCATCGAGCTTTCATCACACCACCCTTATCCAAAAACCTAGTAAAGTGAGGCAAAACATCACTTTTTAGTGGATGTTTGGCCCCAAATGGAAGCGGAGAAAGCTCACCATCATTGACTAGTGCATCACCACTAGCTGCAGCAACATTGCCATCATTCACAGCACCTGCTGTTGCATCACCAGCAATCAAAGGTTGTTGCTGCTGGGGTTCAGGGTTCATGGGTGGGGTGTGGATTGAGTGTTGGGAGAGTTACTGAATTCAACACCTTCCATTGCCTCACCTATTCATCAATCACGAAAAAGCAAACCAATCAAGGCTACATCAACTGAAACTAAGAACTAATGACTAATACTAATAAGACTCCAAACTGTAGAATCGAGTAATTACCTTCGTGAATCGTGAATGATCAATGGACACTTCAATAGTGCAGTCGGTAACCTTGCAACCCTATAAAAATCACGAAATAAGAGATGTGTTACATATGCAACAAGCACTCGAAATTTCGCAAATCTAAATACTAAAGGCTACAAGAAGACTTACGACTTGTGCAGTTGTGCTCCTTGTAGTTGCAGTGACTGGAAACAGGGCTTGCATGCAACTACAAGCTTACTACTTCCCTCGAGAGTGGTTTGAGTTCTAGGAATCTGAGAGAAAAATTGCCAAAAACAATCAATTATAGTATTTAGGGTTATATGTATAATATGCACCCCTACTATGCAGTTTTATCAAACATGCCCTTCTACTATTTTTTACATCAAACATGTCACCTATAGTTTGTAAAAATGATCAAACATGCCCTTCTGTTAAATTTTGCATCAAAAAACCATCAACCATGGTTGAACCTTGGTTTGGGCAACACCTATGTCAAAAATATTCCTAATAATTTCACTTTAGAATTGTTTTGTTTCTTTTGTATAACCAAATACCACTAATAATTTCATTTTAACGAGACGCGGAGAAATAAATGAGGAGGAAAAATTGACATTTCACCCCCCCCCCCAATTTTTTAGATGTCAGGTTGTGTGAATCTTGGTTCAGCCGTGGTTAACCATTTTTTAATGGAAATTTTAACATAAGCGCATGTTTGATAATTTTTCCAAATTACAGGGCTTGATTGATGTAAAAAATAATAGAGGGCATGTTTGATAAAACTACATAGTAGAGGGGCATATTAGACCTATAACCCTAGTATTTATAAACGCAAGCATGAAGAAGAAGGAGAAGAATAAGATGATGACGAAGAGTCGATAAAGGGAAAGTGCAGTTGTAATCACCATCGGGAATGGCTTGATTCGGAAAAATTCAAATGCGAGAACTTCATGCCTGTCCGAGATCCCTAAAATTGATGGGGTTTCGACTGATTGATTGGGTATCTACTCTTTTGAGCAATCAATGTAGGAATATTTGCTGTTTTTCTCTACAATCGAAGAGAAAACTGCGAGATTTGAGGAGGAGAGGAAGTGTCGGGGTTGGAGATTGGATTTTCATAACGACAATTGGGATACAAGAGGAGGATTTTTCGTGAATGAAGTGGGAAGGGAGGGCTAGGGTTCAAGAATTGCGAGCGTCAGGGGCTGTCGGGGCGGATATTTCCAAAATCATCACCACCCGGCAACCGGCTACAGCGATTTTCGGGTTCCCTGCAACCCGTCAACAATCCGGTCAAGCGGATTTAATCCGCCAGGAAACGGATCTGGCATGGGGGGGCACTCAGAATTCGAGCCCAGTTGCCAAGCCTAGTTAGGGCTGGAAATCGATAAGGTATCGGTAATGCCAATACCAATTACCGAAATCCCAAATACCGAATTACACACTAGAATCAATCTCAATCCCAATCTCAATCCCTAAATAATTTCAATATCCAATCACAACCTCTAAATATTTCGGTATTTCAATCGGTACTTCGGTATCCCAATCAGTATTATCAAATACAAAATTAATTATCTTTGCAATTAATAATTAAATATATAAATTAGATTTATTGTTTAATTTAGGGCAAAGAGTCTTGAGTTTGCCTAGAGCTAGGATATCGATAAGGAGAATGGAGGAGAGGTGACATCTCAAATTCTCGTCATTGATAATCTTTAATTTGGGCTGAGAGACGACTAATACTAGTGTTTTCTTTTTGGTATTATGAAAATAACAAGAGATTAGGTGCGTAACGAGAGTTACTTAAACTGGAAAGTCAAAATTGAGTTGGATGGGGGCTTCTAAGTTGTGAAAGAGTGAGGAATGACCAAAGCTTGTATGATATATTTCATTAATTTTTAATTTTTGGTGTTTCTAGGTATTTCGGCATATACCGATCTCAATCCCGTAATCCCGAATACCGAATAGCACTCCATAATGAATCACAATCTTAATCCCTAAAAAATAAGCTGGTATTCGATTATACCAAATAGTGATAAATTTGGTACAATATTCGGTAATATCCCAAATACCGGTACCAAACTTCCAGCCCGAGGGATGGCAATGGGACGGATTTGTCTAAATCATTCTCATCCTTGTTTTGAAACATCCACCCCATACCCATGCAGGGAAAGGTTTTGTAACCCTATCTCCATACCTGTGGTTCTCGAGTACCGAGGAACACTCGCCCGGTACATCAAACATTATTATACCTAAAAATATACATGTGGATTTTCAATTATAACACTAAACCAACCTAATAAATTATTAAATTAACAAAGATACAATCATTATTAATACGAATGAAAGCATATGATTCTAAAACATCCATTAATCTATAAGATAGAGTACAATACTATTCAGTTCATTGTTCTCCAACTCTAATACATCTAATAAGTAATAAATGACTAACACAATATTCTTGTTAACGTGGGGAGAAAAATGAAAGAGTGAAGGGAATTTTCTTTTTATCATGGTGATATATAGGTTTATATTTTGTGATTTAGGTGCTACTTAAGAAATTTGAACACGAGATCTCTTTTAAGGCTAGTGATATCATTACTAGATCAAACTCTTGTTTGTAAGTGAAAGGAGAATTGAGAGAAATGAATTAGGTTTTGGTTTGGTTGGTTATTCAATTACATTTATACTATTTGTATTCTTGAGTTACCCTCACTGTAATTAACATGTTACAATTTGATCTATTTATTTATTTTATATGTGAAACAATATTTTTGATGGAACGGGTATAAATGTTAATTACACCTGTTGCACACCTGTTGCACACCCAATCAATACGGGTTCCCTGTGTTCACTATATAGGACACAATCGGATGTCCATATTTGCAGTACTAAAAATAAATTGCAGGAGTGTAGGTGAATAATAGCTATCCAGCTATTACTTTCACTTGGCTACTCATATCATAATTCCCCAAACAAAGAGAAAGGCTTATCAATTACACATAGCGTGGTGTTGTTGGGTTTGATTTTTTCAGGCTTTCATTTTTGCTCAACCACCACGCAAGGAGTCAAGACCACTCCCTCGATCCTTCCCTCCCCCGTCAAATTTACGATTTTGTTTCTCTCTAATATTCTTAGTGAAGAATGCTATCTCTATTATAATAGGTTGATATCTCGCCTTCCGTACCTTTCTGCCTTTGCTGTCGACACGGGTGACATAAGGGCGTCACACCTTCGTCCTTCGGTACATGAATTTCTAATTACAGACTCCCTTTGTTTCCGACACAAGTATTAGTTTTTGTAAGGTCAACTTTGGTATATCAGGTTAATTTAATTGACTTGTAATCTAACTTATCTCCCTAAAACGACACTAACTTAATTACGACAATAACTTAGCACACCCCAATTTGTGATAATTGTTGAAAAACCTATCATCTTTACGTATTTTTAGAAATAAGAATATATAATCTTAGCTTTTATGTTACGTTACTTGTAGTACCCCAAAATAGAATGGTATTTCAATTGGTTCTCACTTTTTTTTTATGGAATAGGCCCGATATTATTTCATTAATTGTTTGAAACAGTACAAGAATCAATAATAAGTTGAGGAACCAGAAAGGGTTAATAAGTAATGACAAAGCGAGTCTTTAATTGTTAAGTTATCAAATGATGAGACAATTAATTTTGATCGCACAATTCTACAACACATTCAATTAAATTACGAAAGTAATGAACATTTTTTTCCTGCTAAAAAGAAGAGGGAAAGTTGTCTAAAATAAAAACACATTTCTAGTGGTATGACAACAACGTTATAGTCTTAACTTGTTGGATTTATGTTCGTGAACTCCATGTGGATTTTCACTCTCTTTTAAACAACAACAAAAACCACTATAATTCGACTCGACTACTACAACTCAATTAGCAAAATAGAAAACAAACAAGAATATTTTATGACAGCATCAAATTTGTTGGACCCTTTTGATAATTGAAACCTTATCTCATTGACCCAACTCTATCATCATTAGCACAAATTTTAGACGCCAAATTCATTCACACAAACACCTCTTTCATCATTTGACTCATGAAGTATATAAAACCAAGACGCCATTACAAAACAATCAAAAGAAAAGAAAAGTACTAATTATGAGATCTTCCCCCCCTATCCCTTCATTTTCCTCGCGACTCCAACCTCCCATCATCCCAATCCCCCTTTCCTTTCTCTATATATCCAATCCACCTCCCACACACTACAACAGAAACACACACATCCCTCCAAAGCTAGTTAGTTGGCTTTTCCCTTTCCCCTGTTTCATCCCCCCCATTTTCTATATTACATAAAATATTACACCCACATATATCTTCATTATATAGTTTGCCTACTTCAATCCAGTCCAATATTAAACTCTCCTCAATCTATATAGTTTCCTTAATTGCTTCCATGTACATAAATACCCACATCTCCATTCCCAGCCCACAACCTTAATCAGAAAAAACCCATCAATAATGGCTGCTCTCACGAGTTTCCTCTCGCTGCTTCTGCTAGCAGCCGCGTTGTCACTATCCACACCGGCAGCCTCAACTTCCAGGCGGCTCACCCAGCTCGACCCAACCACCACCACCGCCGCCGCCGGCGGCTTCCAGGTCGCCCTGACCCACGTCGACTCCGGCAAGAACCTCACCAAGTTCCAGCGGCTCCAGCGCGGGATCAACCGGGGGAACTACCGGCTCCAGAAGCTCACCGCAATGGTCCTGGCCCAATCCACTCCCGAAGCAGCCGACGATGTGGCTGCTCCGGTCGTGTCGGGCAACGGCGAGTTCCTGATGGAACTCGCCGTCGGGACGCCTCCCGTGTCCTACTCCGCGATCGTGGACACGGGAAGCGACCTGATATGGACCCAGTGCGACCCCTGCACCAACTGCTACAAGCAGCCCACCCCGATTTTCGACCCCTCGAAATCCTCCACATTCGCCAAGCTCCCCTGCTCCAGCACCCTCTGTTCCGCCCTGCCGCAGTCGTCGTGCGGATCCGACGGCTGCGATTACCTCTACACCTATGGAGATTACTCGTCGACCCAGGGGGTCATGGCCACCGAGACGTTTACATTCGGCGGGAACAAGGTAAAGGTTCCGAAAGTCGGGTTCGGGTGCGGGGAGGATAACGAAGGGGACGGGTTTACTCAGGGAGGTGGGCTCGTCGGACTGGGCCGCGGCCCACTCTCACTCGTCTCCCAGCTCAAGCAGCCCAAGTTTTCGTACTGCCTGACGTCTATCGACGATGCCGCGGGGGCCACCAGCACGCTGTCCATGGGCTCGCTGGCTGGACCGACGGGTAACTCCTCGGCCACGACCGGTTTGATTCAGAACTCGGCTCAGTCCTCGTTTTACTACATTTCCTTGGAAGGGATCTCGGTCGGCGGGACCGGCCTGTCCATCCCCGCGTCGACTTTCGCGCTGCAGAGCGACGGCAGCGGCGGGATGATCATCGATTCCGGGACCACGATCACGTACCTGGAGCGCAGCGCGTTCGACGAGGTGAAGAAGGCGTTCAAGGCCGCGATCGATCTGCCGGTCGACAATTCCGGTTCGACCGGTCTGGACCTCTGTTTCGACCTGCCGTCGGGCGGCGGGTCGGGCGACATCAAGGTGCCGACCCTGGTGTTTCATTTCAAAGGGGCGGATTTGGAGCTGCCGGCCGAGAATTACATGATTGCGGATTCCAGCGTCGGGCTGGTGTGCTTGGCGATGGGGAGCTCGAGCGGGATGTCGATTTTCGGGAATATTCAGCAGCAGAATTTCATGGTGCTCTATGATTTGGCCAAGGAGAGCTTGTCTTTCACTCCGACCCAGTGCGCCAAATCGTGATCAGGATGTGCAGATAATGATCGTTCATGTTGATGATTTCTTACCGTATACACGATTTGTTAGCCATGATTTTTTATTGCTTTTCTTTTTCCCCATTTTTATGTTCATGAGCTTACATCATACGTCATCATCACAAAGCATAGCAGTGCTATTATATATATATATACACATGTCAATGAATACAGTTGCCTTGCTTGATCTTCACTTTTAATTATTCCTTACACTTCCTTTTCTAGTTTCTTACTCATGTCTTGTAGTTGTTTACCTGTCCATTTTTAACCAATCTTGTTTCATAAGGTTTTGGGCCGTTCAGATTGGTTTAGTCGTCATTTCAGCGCTAAGCATGATGTCATTGATGGTATTAGCTCAACTTCCACAACCTTATTATACTTTGATAACCCCGCGTAAGTTGGTTATTTGTTCAAATTATTTTTGAAGGGCGAATGGGAAATGGATCAGGTCAGTAATCTTATGGTGAGTAACTATGAGTAACCCGTCCACATCAGCATGACATCAACATCCTCTCTCTCCTGGAAAGCCTTTAATTTTCCCCTCCTTAATCTTTAACGGACGATTTCTCACTCGTTTTAAGTCGAAATTTAATTTTTTTGCACAGTTAGATCAGATTAATTGTGCTCTTCAAAATGATATCCACTTTGATATATTTTTCGAAAAAAAAAATTGAGCCATTTTTTACCACTCTATACCATATGGTATTGACTGGTATTGAAATAAGAGCATATCTATGGTTTGAAAAGCGTACCATGGTGGTATGAACAAATCAAGACTGTAGGATGATTGAATACATGATAGTAGAAGTATATTAATTGTCATTTACGACTTTTAACATTGTATACCATAAGATACCATAAAATACCACCCCGTACCAGGGTGGTATTGTATGGTATTTGATGGTATTTTTTGGTCTTGTAATTTGTTCACCCAGAAATTTGTAGATCCAATAGATCATGATGAACTCGTCCATGCTGTGCAAACGTTTTCAAAAACGAATGAAAAACGAAGAAGATACCATATGGTATGCAGTTGGTACCGAGAGGCCAAAAAAATTTTCCCCTAAAAAAATATTGAAAATTGATCTCATTTTGTAGAGCACGATGAACTCTTTCCATCTGTGCAAAAAAAATTAAAATCCGAGTTAAAACGAAAAAGATATGAGTCAATTAAGAAAGCTAGTGAAAATAAAAATGACCTTTAATTCTCCATCCTTAGATCTGGATTTTCTAAATGAAGGGTCCAGATTTGGTTATTGATGGGTGCATAACCCATGGTTATGCACCCTATCTTAAGCCGGGCGAATGATAAGTTTATTGCGGTGGATCAAATGACTCATTTGTCTCAGTTTGTGTCATGTGCGTTTATTTAATAAAAGTAATTATTTAATTATGGGTTGTTAGGGGAGGGATTATTGACGTAAGTAGTGGGGTAATTAGTGAGTTAGTGGTTAGCTAGAATTAAGAGAGTTTATTTTAGTGATAATGGTTTTAGGTGTTTTACGTTTAGTTTGCCAGGTTATAGGGTTATTAGTTTTATGTTCTCTATTTAAAGAACGAGCTGTAGAGAGTAAAAGGAATGAATCAAGTATAATCAAGAAAAGGATTTTACACACCTACCTGTTAATTTGGGAGGTAGGCTTTCTGCGAAAAAGCTTAGGGGTTCTGTTCTCGCCATTAAGGAGAACACTTCTCTTCTTCAATCTATCTATCCTTCCTCCATCATTCTTCTTCCTATTTCGATCTTTCTCCGTATATTCTATTCTACAAAACGTTCACATAACAGTTTGTGACTTGGTAGATCATGAATACAAATATGATTGAAGATGTGAATATCTCTCCAATTTTTTTCTTTTTGGAGCGGCTATCATGTAGTTACGACTGTAAGATGGGTGTTGCGAGCTCCGACGTAGCTCTTCAACCTCCTGCGAGATTTGTCAATCGTCACGCCTTTGTCAATTTCAAATATGAGCATTTCATCCCGGGAAATCCCGTGATTGAGAGTAAAGTTTCTTATATTGGTGCTATTTAATATGTATTATTAAACTGCATATACGTTTTATAAAAATTCACTAACCACTCAATCAATAGAATAGAGTGAGAATGAGCTATTTTTATAAACACATTTGCACTTTACACTCCTTTTATTGTGTTATTTCTCATCGTGGAGACTATTTCTAACAATCTCCATATTAGTCAACATGAACTAAGAATACCTAGTACAACAAATAGTTCATATATTAAGATACCTTTTCGATTTGAACATTTACTTAATGTAAGCAACTTTAAATTAGTGACGGGCTCGGGCTCGGGCTCAGGCTACAAGCCATGATTCAAAGCTGGAAGGGGAGTTACAACTTACAACATACTTACTTATCTATTCTCTAAATCACAATCACCAACAATGGTCACACTTTTATTGTCATGTGTTGTTCTTGTTTCACGAGCATACACAAAATGTAACATCTATTTTCGTTTGAGCAGCACCACTCTTAATGCAATGAATATTATTACTAGTTCTATAATACACAAAATGCACCACTCTATAGTAAATACCTAGAGAAAATGTTGAGTTTCCATTACGTCTAGTCATTCAAAGGACTCAATTCCATTCACCGGGATGTGATGACACGCAAATTATAATATTTTAGGCTATTTAATAACATATTTTGCATAGTTTTAATATCTTTATTGCCATAAAAATTTGGAATTGCTTGATAATTGCTCCAAGGTGTATTTAGTAGCTCGTATGATTATTTTTACTATTTTGATGCCCTTTGATTAGTATCTTATTTGTTTTCATGCCAAAGTATCCTAGTGGACCACCTTGTACGAGTGAGAGACATCAAGACCCAACTATGGGGAGTTAGAAATGAAGATTTGAGCTCAAACCCAAAATGATGCTAGATTTAGTCGGTGATAGCCCAAAGTGGCACCCTAGGCAGTGTTTCTCAAAGGAACCAAATCATCGCGGAATTGTGCGGATATACCTTACTTAGTGGCTAAGGTGGAGATATATTAGAGAGATTTGGTCAGAAGACTTTCACTCCTACTTTATCTCTCATAAAACCTTATGAAAGAGGCTATAAATATACCCTCTCAATCATCATTCGCGCATTAGGTCATACAGTGGGTTACTCTGTCGACACAGTACCTCAGTAGTCCAAAAGTGATCAACGGGATCGAGGGTAGAATTGTGGCAGAAATGGCGCCTTAAGCGCCATTTTACTGTATGGCCTCCATTTTTAATGTCTTTGGGAATCTCATATTCAATACAAGTCTTAGCAGCAACTGTTTTGCTATGTGACTTATTCAACCCGTATTGTTGATTGACCAGTGTGTCTCCCTAGCACGCAACCCACTAGAGGATCTCAGTAGGAGAATGATATGATATAGAAGCACATTCAGTGAAAAAGTTCATTCTGGATTCCCTTAACCACGTATGTATATGTCAGTTATCTTATCGAAGCGAGTCAAAGGAAAGTCTAGGGGGATTTTGCCTATGCAACACTTTTTCTTCTATTTTTCCCTCATCTAGTAGAGTAGTTTAGACTTTTTCCTTTTGTTTTCCACCCAAACCAAGGGGAATCCCTGATGCACCTCAAACCTCTACAACTTGTTTTAAAACCAATAATAGGTCACTTAGTGACTGAGTAAGGATATGTGAGAGGGCGGGAGGAATACAATCATGGTTATCTACGAGGTAAATTAGACCATTGTTCTATAGCTAGTCAATTTTGGCACCCTTGCCAGGGACTCTCACGATCTTTCGGATAGGGAGTATGGTATGTGTTCTTTCTTTTGTATTATTTATGTTTTGAGTCTTTAATCAATTTTTGTTTGTGTGTTTGGTTTAAATACTTTTTACTAGTCATATGTATTCGTTCTTCCGTCCATGTTCATACAATGCAGTTAAAAGCGCGATTCTACCTAGAAGCGGAAAATGGGTAAAATCATCAAACGTAGAATCAAAGCGTAAAAGCGTAAGTTGTTGACGCACCTCTAAAATAGCTAAAATATGTTAGGTACAACATATAGTATGTAAAATGTGAGTGTGTAGATTTTATATAACTGAATAAATACATTAAATTCATAATTAAAATATAATATCTAACACATAAACTATTTGTATTGACTCAAAAGTAGAGAAAACTCATAATATCTTAATAATAAGCACATAAGTGTAGATCGTAACCCGTAAACGAGCTTGAGAATCCAAATTCTCATAAGCTGGTTTGGGTTTACATAATTACATACGATTAATTACCAATAAACTTTTATCGTAATCCAGGTAAGAGCCACAGGTGAAGATTAAGGGAGAAGACTGATAGAAGGTCAGCGGTTGTTGAGAATACCATTAGGTGTCTTTTCAACATAATGTGAAGCCCCCTATCTCGACACTAGTTGTAGAACGAGTGATGGGTCATGTTTTCCTTTTTTATTTTTCGCTGATATGTCTCCAAAATTACATCATTTTGGGCCAATTAGCACATTTTTATGATATGATTAAAATCGTATAAAAACGCTTCAGAATCGCGATTTTGTCGATTTTAAGCGATTTTACCGATTTTACCCATGCTTTTACCAGTTTTTGTGTCTAAGCGACTTTAAGTAGAAACTAAAACGTTTTGGTGGCCTGGATACGTAAAAACATAAGTTTTTACGTTTTAATGCGCGATTTTGACTGCACTGTGTTCATATTATGTTTTTGTTTGTTCGTGTTTTCTGTTTGGTAGTTCATAGTCAAAGTCTATCATTTAAAATAATTAAATCAATAACAAAATATGACTCATCCGGCCAACTGGTTGAGTCCAAATCTAGTTAATATAAACTACATGCTAGTGCTACAAAGTTATAATACTGTGTATGAAAAATAATTTTTAAAAATTTCATCTAGATCACTAAAAAAGGTTAAAAAACATCTACATCAAATATGTATGAAAATCCGTTCAAAGACGAGCGAATCAAAGTTGTATCTACTATCTTTTTTCACTAGCTTTTATCTAACCTATTGGTCAGTTGAATATTATTTTATTTTATGTTGATCAATTATTTATATTTTAAATAATTTGAGATTTTCAAAAAAATTAATTCATTATTTCAAAGTAATTTTTATGGTATTGTTGATTATGACATTAGCGATAATTAGTTAATATATATTTTTTTAATAAAGTCATCCTAGTTTACTATTGTGTATTTTTTTTCATATCTTATAAGAAACTTGTGGACTTTTTTACTTTCGGATATGAATTTGGAGTTGGAAGGAAATATATGTTAGATGAAGCTATGTCCACTGGCATCCTTGGAACCTCGTTAGTTTCTTGGGCCAGCAAAAAGCATAGTTCAATTGCCTTGTCCACTGCTGAAGCAGAATACATAGCAGCTGGACTCGGTTGCACCCAACTTCTTTGGCTAAAATACCAACTACAGGACTTTGGCCTTAAAATAGGATCCCCTACCATTCTTTGTGACAACACAAGTGCCATTAATATGACCAAAAATCCCATTCAACATTCTCGCACTAAACATATCGAAGTAAGGTATCATTTTATTCGAGATCTAATTCAAGATGGAAAGATTCAACTTGAATTTGTAAGCACAGACATGCAATGGGCGGATATTTTTACTAAACCTCTAGGGGTGGAAAAGTTTCTGTCTATACGCAATGAACTTGGCTTATTTATCCTAGATGCAATCACCACCTCTTGATATTCTGATTTTCTGGATCATATGATTCACTTTCCTTTCCTTGGGATTCTTAACCTCCGAATACTGATACACCTTCCTTATCTCTAATCCTTTCTCCTCTATAAGATGCTTAGGGCTCTTTAGAACTTCAACTCATTCTGCTCATCTAAAAAATATCTCATAAAACTTCTCCAAATGGCTCCGACCAACGCTCAATTGCGACACTCTGCTGTTTTCAACAACAAAGGGTTCTGCAATGCTGCTGTCTATTCTAGATATTGAAACAACCCATTCTTTTTGGAAAGATCAAACCAAAATTTTAAAACAAAAATCGGTTACTCCGGAGCAACCCAAACCATGTTTTTAAGTCAAACCAAAAATTAACCAACGACAATATCCAAAAATCTCAAACGAAAAGCCCTAAACAGTTGGGCAAATCTCAATCCAAACACTTGAACAGAAAATCTGAGTTTCCCAGTATACTCATAGGACAAGAAATAAAGACAAATATGATAAAAAGGGTCCCATCTCCATACCCTGATCCTTCCGACATCCTCACGCTTGACGCGGCTGACCCCCTTGAGTAATCTCCTGGTGCTGGTTATGCCCTCTTCCCCTTTCCACACCTGGTGAGTGAGAAGGGGTCAGTCTCGTCGTTACTTTCTAAGGTCTTTGCCTAAGCAAAACCTACTAACACATTATTAGAAATGACTTCCTCTTACATGAAAGCCGTTCTCGCTTTCATCCTTAATATTTTAGTCCCTGACAGCTTATAGAAGTTCTGTACTTCTATCTTAATTTATATACTTATTACTAGGGTTCACCACGTTACGTATCGCCGTCCGGTGTCCCTATCCTCAAGGCAATGGTACTGCGTTACGTATCGCCGTCCAGTCCATGCCCGGTCAACTACTGCGTTAAATATCGCCGTCCAGTAGTGACCCGACCATCTACCGCGTCCAGTAGTGGCCCAACCGCCCGGGGGTTCAACTTACATACAACCATTCACATTCACAAACACATACATACATAGCACAACGCGTGCCTCCACCTTAAGTAGGCGGTGGGATGCCTCACACACATAATCGCGCTTACTTGAAAATAACAAATATAACTGAATTAAAAAGGCATAAACTAAAAGACCTCGACGGAGATTTTACCCCCTTTACACTCACCTCTCAAGTGCCGATACTTTACTTCCTTTGACGTGTGATCCCTTAATTTGATCGCCTCCTTGATCCTATAAATCGAGATTAAATTTCCTTTAGTCGCTACTCCGCTAAATTTCCCGTTCTCCTCGCTTAGTCCCATAATTCTTTAAAAAGGCTTTAACTCATCTTAACTAATTAGATAATCCTTTGCATAAATCTCATAAAAATTATCATGAACTTTACAAAAATCCCTTACCTCTCAAACTACTAATTCTGACTTCTAATAACTTAAAACATCAACCAAAATCATTAACTATAATTTATACCTTAATTACCCCTCCTTCCTATTTAATAAATAATTTTTAAACCTATAATACAAATGTCTAAATTTCTGGTTCTTAATTCCCCTACACAAATTCAATATTCTAGTCTTGCACAAAATTAACAAAGTCATATAATATATACATACAATAATTAAATTAATTAAAACGAATATCACATAAATTTTTGTAATTATCAAATCAACTCGAAAAATCACCCAACAATTCCTGGACAAACATAACAGCATATGTCTTTGAATAAAATTATCAAGACCGGCAAAAACATCCGCATACTATTTTATTTAACTAAAATAGTCTTCCCACCAATTTTTGTAATTAGAACTACAGCTCCAAAAATCCTTGAATTAATATCCAAACACCCTATTGATTTGTTCTTATTTATAAAATTATCATACCACGAAAATACCCATTGTACGGCAACAATAATAACAATAATCTAGAGAAAACCCCATTTTGATCGAATATAAAAAAGTTTAAAACTCCGGGGACTAAGCTGCTCGTACTGGAAATATGGGGAACTATCATGGACATTTTCTCACAGACTGAAACGAAATTACCCTCTGGTTCCTTACACTTTTCGAACAGACAGTAATGGTACCTGAACTATCTGATTCACGTCTCAAGCTTTAGAGGCTCGTATCTTCCTCATCCGACGCCGAAACTCAAATCCGTCGAAACCGGGATGTTCCTGAGATAGCCCTCTTCGCAATGATATCCACCTCTCCAAGAATGGTTGAAGTTGACTACGCCGGTGCCACCCACGTACTTTCCGGTGAACCTCTATTGCGTCGCCGTCGACTCCACTGCGCGTACGCAAGAGAGCCCTAGTCGTGGCCGTGTAGAGATTATGTGCGACTCGGCTGGTAATAGTCGCTTTTGCTTGAATTGTGAGACACGTTGATGGAGATAGCAGCTGCTGCGGTGCTTGTCCCGGCTTGTGGAGAGAATCCGAGAGAGAAGAGATGAGTTGAGGTGATCGCTTGGTTCTTTGTCTCTGTAGGTTTGTAGCGTTACTAAGGGCAGGGAGAGAGACGTTTGGGCTGCTGCTGTTCCATTGAAATGGATCCAAATAATGAGGGGAGGGAAGGTAACGTTTCTACGTACTAAATGGGGATTTAATCACCATTTTGTTTTTTTTCCTTACTTTTCCCCATTTTCGTTTGTATACACGGATGATGATCACTCTAATAATAATAATAACATTATTGTTATTATTATTATTTCTAATTCATGGTTGCACCTCTTCGTAAATAACCGTTGATTCAACTGGTCATTTCTTATGGTCGAACCCGGACTCAAATATCGGGGTGTTACAGATATCTCCGTCAATTTCGTGATCGACCCATCTATCCATCACTTTCCATCCATCCATCTAGCTTTTCCAAGTATGACATGAACATTCCCTCTCTTCTTCATGGTCTTGGATGGGGGTCGTTGGTGGAAAATATGAGGTTCAGCTACTGTCCAGAAGCGGTTCGTCTGTTTTATGTCAACATTCAGAAAGGCCCTGGGACAATCCCTACCTTTTTCACCATAATGGTCTTCAACTTTGAAGTCAAAGTCACTCCAGAGCTGTTGGCAACAGGTCTTGATCTCCCTCATGCTGGTCTTCATGTTGGAACTGACAGTGAATTTGGAGCACTGGGGTTTGACCTTCAAGGTGCCTTACAATCTGTCACTCGTGACATAGGTCAATTTTTTCCCTCTCGACTTGCTGCTGGTCGATTGCCTGATGATCTTAAGGTTCTCCATTTCTTCCTTACTAGGAGCTTTCTGCCTCGAGACCTCTCCAGCACTGATATTCTTAACACCTCTGACTTATGGGTGCTTTCTCATGCTCGAGCTGGTACTGCCATCAATTATGCTTCTCTCATGTTCCACCATATGATTCGGTTTGGGATGGAATACTTTGACGGTCCTCTGCCGTTTGGCCCCCAAATTACCAGGCTTCTATCCTTCCTACGCATTGACTTGCATGACAAACTGCATCAATGTAATGTTCTGGATGATATTCGTCCCCAACATGTGCTTGCTAAGCTGGATGCATTGGTAGGGCCCCGTAAGCCTCTCACTGGCTCAGGGGGAGCAATTTTTTGTAACATCCCGAACCTCGGATAATTTTTTTTCCAAGTAGCGGACGCATATAGTACGATTTGAAGCTGGAAAAAAAATCTAGAAGTTATCCTATACGAGATAGGATCAATGAAATCACTTTGAAACTCTCCAAGCCTAAAAAAATGCAATAAAAATAAATAAGGGGCTGCCAAGAATTGAACCTGTAACTTGGCCCAAGTTCAAGGGAGAGGCAAGTGGCCATACCACTAGGCCACACGGGACTTTCTATAAATACTACTCCCGCATTTTTATAAACTTAACTTACATCGCTGGTACAGATAAACTCTACCAAGCGGTGCAGCTCTTGAAACTCGTCCCTTCAACTCCATAACTGACCTGAGGATTTAGAAGGCGGCCTTTAGCTTTATGAGGGTATGCCTGGGCCTTAATTAGGAGTGATGAAGATCTGAAACAAGAGTTAATAAGAGGGGGAGCCTCTCTTCTTCTTCCTCACTTCATATCATCATTCTCATACGACAAGAAAAGAATGGAAGGAAAGGATAGTTGACAAACGCCTATCATAACCTCTGTATGCCCAGCAAAGGTTTAGAACCCACACAAATCCCATTACGAAGCCAAAATCGTCCAACCAACTCAACGGAAATTCTTCGCCGATACTTTTGCCGTAACCTTTTCGTCTACCCAACCAGCGCTACTAAAGGCAGTATCAGCTACAAAGCTTGATACCGTTGCGAAGAGCAACTCTCCACGAGCATCACAGAGTTTATGGAATTGAATTCCGAGCTCAGACGAGGGAGAAACAAGGCCGGGAAGTTGGTACGCGGGGTAGGAAAATTTCCAGTTTTATGCAGATTTTGGGACATGCAGAAAATTAACAATTAATCCGTAATTTCGTACTAACGATGATCAGCTCGCAGTTTCTTCGTTTGACGTCCAAACGACGAACTAGAAACAAGGAGAATTTTTAGGAGCCAATCTCTGGAATTTTAGAACTTAATTCCCGACTTGGAATCGGCTAAATTAAGGTGTGTGGGGATTAAGAGGACCTTAATTATTGCATCGATTATTTATGCTTGATTTGCATATTTGGATGGATGGATTGCTGTGGGTGATGAATTATTTGTTGATATGATGATTTGGTGATTATTCTTGATTGTTATGGATTTTACGGTGTAAATATCGGTATTTGACGAGTTTCCCCGTAAAAATGAATAGTTGGGTTTATTGAGTCTAAAACTGATCTAAGAGATTTTTGTTTGTCTAAAATGAGGTTGGGGCAGATTGAGCAGAAGATTTCACTTGAAAATGGTTTCTGGATTAAAAACTGCATAACGGTCAATTTTACCGAAAGCTCGGTAAAAACGTGTTTTATTTGTCTTTAAGATTTGGATCACTTCAAAATGGTCAGTATGGATTGTTAAATGGGTTATGGTCTGAAAAGGGTAAATTAGATAGTTGGTGAAGTTTTTATCTTTAAAATGGTAAAAACGAGCTTAATACGAGATTTGCGGTAAAAACCGAGTGTAATATTATTTTCATGGTTTTGAGTTGTTGAAAAATATAAAAGCTAGACAGACCTGTGTTAGGATGATAAATGAAGGTTCTTGTATTTTTGGGAGATTTTCGGATTTACCGTTTTGTGGGAATTTAAGTTACCGTAAAATAATGGTTAATACGAGATTTTTGATAGTTTATTGTATAAATTGATTTTTATGACCAGAACTAGATTAAATGGATTTTTGTGTCAATAAATTCATTTACATGAATTTTGTGAGGATTTTAATGAAGGAAAGTGAATTTTGAGTTAAGGATATTTTTAACCGCGACCGGGTTATTTGTAATTATTTGCGTTGGCACTATTTCGTGAAATTGTTGATGAAGTTTGGATGAGGAATGGTGACATGGTACTGCTGAGTAGCTTTACTGGAGAATGAAATGATTTATGTGATTCGATATTGGATGATGAAATAGTAGATTTTTTTTAGAAACGTCGAGTTGATAATCGACGGGAAATATATATATAGACCGGTTAATCCGTAAGACTACATTGATTCCGGATTGATTGTGATGGATGAGAAAAATGAAAATGGTTTGATTCGTGATCATATTAATTCAAGTAGATATAGAAAGGGCCTGCACTTACCCTCACCCCTTGAGAGTGGGTAGATTTAGCTCGCTTATGCGATTTAGTGTTGTGGTTGCATGAGCACCACGGATGAGTGTTGTGGTTAAAAACCACGGATGAGTGTTGTGGTTAAAAACCACGGATTGAGTGTTGTGGTTGCATGAGCACCACGGATGATGATTTGCTCGAGCGAGGGTAAGTGCATGGTGACCTTGGCGCCATTAATAATTAACCGGAATTTTCATATCATGCATTGATTATGTGTTCGTGAAATTATGTGATTATCTTATTGGATAAATTGATTTGGAGATGATGAGTTGGTGGATTCGATAATTTGATCGGTAAATTATATATGATGATTTCAGATGGCATCTAGAGTACTAAATTATGATTGATTATGATTGTTTGATTAGCTGATTGCTGACCCAAAATTAGGTCGTGGGAAAGATCCACACACACAACTTAGTTGCTGACCCACGTATGTTTTCAGGCTCGCAGGTGCAACTAGGATCAGACTACTGAGGCTGCCATATCCTTCTGTACTACCATCATGAGGTAGTTTGGAACATTGTTCTGCCATGGTCACCTAGGATTTCTGCTTTGAGTGTTTTCAATAATAACCCACATTTTGTAAAATTCAATAAGTGGGTTGGGGATCGAAAAAGGAGATTGTATGATAATGGTTTATGTTTGTGTTTAATAATCAAATATGATGTTTGAGATGATTGAGTTCAACCAGTAACACCGAGGATTTGGCTGTGCGGTTGAACCACGAGTTCAACCATAGAGATTATGGGTGGGGTGTTACATTGTTGGTCCTGCAGCTTATGCATCAGGGAGATTAGCTGGAGCACTTGTGTGATGCTGCTGTTACTGTTATCAAGCGTGAATCATTAGCAGAAATAGAGCAGTCTGCCAAACTGAAGAAACTTAGGCAGGAAGATTTGATGTGGCCAAAGTTTATGTATGAATCTGGAACTATAAATGATCCGATAAGTTCTGATTCAGAGTCTAGTGAGTCTAGTGATGATGATGTTTCTGAATATGAGTCCCCACCGAAATATCCATTCTAGGACAGAATAGGTACTAGTGATTGTCTATTAAGAGCTTGTGATGTTTGATTAAAAGGTTGAATAATGAAGTTATGAATAAAGGTTTTTGAATATCCAATGAATGCATCATCTACTTATGTGATAATCTTTTGGAACAGACTGCACCAATTGTTTGTTACATGTGTGCAGGAAAAGAGCCAATGACAAGCTTAGGGGGAGTTTGTTAGGTGAAGCTATGTCCACTGGCATCTTACAAATTTAGGAAAGAGGATCAAAATTTGCCAAGCTAAGAGCAAGAAGAGGAAAGGCCAAATTAAACGAGTAATTGAAGGAAATCAAGACGTGAGATTGATTCTCCAAATAAGAAGGCAACAACTGATTCCCCAAATCAGAAGGCAACGGGTGGGAAAAAGGCTGAATATAAGTGAGAAGAAATTTAGCAGCATGATCATCCTTTTCGAGCAAATTTTCAAAAACAGAGACAAGAGTGCAGACTGTGTTTTGAAAAGAAAAGGAGGGGAAGCTGTCGGGGAGACAGGTTGAGTGATTGGCGATTTGAATTCAGGCAGGGAGCTGAATTTGGTTCAGGAAGTCTGATCTAGTGACGGGGAGTCACCTCGAGATCGATTGTAAACTGTAAACTGAATTATACCATCATAGTGAAATGTCAAAGGACTCAAATCAGAGTACCTTTGACCGTGGATTAGTCGGTACTGAATTCATCAGTACCGGATACCACGTAAAAATCGTGTCTATGTTTTTAATTGTGTTATACTCTGCTTCACTATATTTCCAGATTGATCATGTGTTCTTGTTACAGTGCAAAGTTGAGTCTTGTGCAGGACAAGCTCTGATCGGTTTGCTAAAGAGAAGGAGAAGGAAACAGAGACTTTAAAACACAGCGAATAGAGACTGTCGGCCCAACCCACTTCTGTTTTAATCTCAAAACTCGCTATCGTTTTGTTCACTACGAAAGGGGAGTCTCTTTAACCTTTTCATCGATTCAATTTTCATTGTATTCCACTCTCTTCACTTGCTCTTGTCAAAACCAAAATTAGGGTTCCGCAGAATTCCAGTTGCTCGAAGAAAAAGGGGAACTAACTCTTGAGTCTCGCGCTCGATTCTTCCAACAATATATGTCATCTAGAATTGGTAGGAATTGAAGGTATATATAAAAAATCAAGATAGTCAAAAATTATGCCTAGAAATCTCAAATATGGAAGAACGCGAAAAAATATTGTTTATTGTATAAATTATTATAATTTAGTGTATAGGCTTGCTTGAATAATAAGTAGGGACTGTTAAGTGTTAGATACTAATGCAAGTACAAAAGTTAAGAAAATCCGAACATTATAAAACTTTAAATTCTACTCCACCAATACGATCTTTGACTTTTCATGTGAAGTTAATAGCATAAATTGTCACTCTATTATTCATTTTTCTCAAATCTATCTCTCTACTATTTTTCACATCAAACATCCTCTCGTAATATATAGTTTACGTATTATCAAAGTAAATTTACCCCATTTTTATGGCTTATCTTTTCCATCCACAACTCTCAATAATTAATAGCCACAATCACATTCTCCATCTGTTCTGCTTTCTCTTCCTTCGACCCAACAATAATTAAATGTAAAAACTTGTTTGTCACGAAAGAACCTTGAAGACCAACTTTTGAATTTCAACCACTCTCTGAAAGTCCTCAATTATTGATCGATTTGACTCAATCATGAAAATTGGAACCCAAAAGTTTTAGAATATATGGATTTCAAAGTATCAAAAGGTTGTCAACCAGGTTTAGCCAGTTGGCTCAGTCGATTAAGTGGGTTGAGGGTTAATGGTCCAATCATTTTAGTCCGCTTTTGCCATGATATATGAAAAATTCATTATATTACTCATATATTTATAAATTATATAAAATCTCATCTACATATGGATAATATTCTTCCTCGCCTGGACTATCTACATGTGTTTCTCTATCTGCTACTTTTCGCTATCCTCCTTCGAGCTTCTAAAAAGCACTCCAACAACATGTATTCGCGATGAAGGTCGCACTCCTATGGCATCAGTGTGTGCCAGATGTGGAATTAATGAGGAACGACCAAGTGGGAATTGAGCGTGGGGGTGTTTGCGAGGGAAGGCAATATGTGATGGAAAGTTAGTTCTGTCAGTAGTCTCTTTGTCTATAGAATTGACTCGATGGATTTAGCTTACCAATTCACAGAGCGGGAGCTAGAACAGGAGTGTAAGGGCGTATATTCTTTGAAAATTATAATTTGAGTTCGGTGGAAGAGCGTGAATTATAATTTAACTTACAACATGTTTTGGTCAAAATATTACAACAATGCAGCAAAAAAATAAAAATAAAATCACTTTAGTAGGATAATAGCTTTAAATAATCTTATTATACTAGAAAAAAGAACAGACTTCAAAAGTTGAATATAAACCTGCCAAAGGTTACGAGACTTTTTTAGTTTTCCATTTTATTTTTTTTAAAAGGAAAAGAGAAATGAATGTATCGTTATCCACCCCATGCACTCAATTAGTTGTTAATAAAAGAGTCTATATCTTCTTCTTCCCCTTCGATTCGTTGTTTCCTAAGCTACCGTTGGAGATCTCATGTAGATGTACCAAATTGGCAAATTCTATATAATCGGGCCACCTAACTAACCTCCTAAGTCCTATCCTTTTATTTAGCCCCAAACTCGTGATTTGATAATCTATTTCACAGTCCCAATTCACGAATTGGTGGTGAATCTTCGGAAGTATGAAGCTTTTTTTACCGCTCATCCAAATCTTCAACAACTTCCGAGATCTCGTAAAGGGTAATGTCTGTTTTTTATCCAATTTTTTTTTCAGATTCTTTTATGCTATCCAAACCTATTAAAATACTATGAATTAGCCAAATGTTAACTTTCAGTTAGCTAGTTTGTTAGTAATATTGACTTACCAACATGATACTGACTTGGAAGAGACACATGAAGGTCAACATTGTAAAATTTAGTATTTTAACTAAGAAAAGAGTTACAAAATTATTAACGATAACATAAAAATGGCTAATATTTTGATGCATTGCGAAAGATTTGGCTAATTAATAGCATTTTAATAGGTCTGGACAATATAAAAGAATCTGAAAAAGATTTGAATAAAAAATAGACATTACCCTTCTACAAACTAATAATAATGTAAGAGTTCAACATCACTTATACAAATACGATAGGTAATATAGAATCAAAGATATTTAACATATGATTTTAAAGTTATCCTCTGTTTATCTTATAAATATAAATTAATTATCAAAGAATAATTAAAATAATTAAACATGAAAATTGAAGTATCAAAACACCAATAATTATCGAGCAAAGATTTAATGGCCTTAACTAACTGTTGAAAAGTTCTTTGAATTTTTAAATTTAGCTTCATGTATATTTTTTTATTTAAAATGATACAACTAACCTATATAGTTTGATTATATAAGATTATTGTCATTGTTGAAAATGACTATGGTTGGAATTCTAGTAGTATTGTTTTTTAGGAATAAAAGAGAAATAAATAGATCATTGTAAATCCGAATTGTACTCTTACTCCGAGGTGTCTCTCGGAGGAGTACTGGAGACATGGTTGTCATGCCGGTGGCATGCCACCCGGTTGAACCTGGTTCAACCTGTGCCGATCATGAAACCGGCATGACACCACCGGTATGATCGAATTACGTATTTTAAATAAAATGAAAATATTTTAATTAATTTAATGAATAAAAAAACTAATTTAGGGGATTGAGGGATGCACTTACTAAACTACATTACCTATAGGTTTTTCTTTGATTCAAAAGTTTCTTGTAAGTAGGGTGATATATAGCAGATAGTAGTGAGACTTTACAGGGGACTGCTTCCCTTTTCGTTGTATTTGTTTTTTCTGAGAATAAAGCATCCGATTTAACGAAAAAAAAGAAAAAAAAATTACATACATATTTTTTTAGGCTAAATTACATTTTTGGTCACTCAAATTATATAAATTTTCACGTTTACCACTCGAATTACTTTTCTTTCTTATTGACCACTAACTTTACAATTTGTTTCACCGTTAGTCACTAGCCGTCAGTCTCCGTTAGACTCCGTTAACGCCGTTAGATTTTTGATGATGTGGCAAATTGAAGTGCTGACTGGACCGTTAACTTAATGACATCTCAATAAAAAAACTAAAATAAATAGAAAAAATAGACACAGAACAGAAGTGGCCCTTCCCCTCCCTCGTCTTCTTGGCTTTCCCATCTTCACGCAGGAGTTGCTCTGCCGCAGCGTCCCGAAGATTTTCTCCATCCTACTCCAGCTCCAACACCGATCCTCCTGGGCGAAATTGCGATGGCTGCTCCCTCGCCTGGTGGTGGCACTCCGCCGCATGGGACATTTCTCCCTCGTCCCGGCTCCCTCGTCGAGAAGAAAATCCACAACGCCTTCGAAGCCGCCGAAGCTCCTCTCTCCGGCAATGGGAAACGATATATTGACGGCCGAACATCTAAAACCCGAAGATTTCTTGCGGCGGAGACGAGTACTTGCGGTGACAGTTTGGCGCAAATTTATCAACGATGGTGGAAGTGGCCCCGGTTTGTCGCGGCAGAGATTGGGGGTTCGGCGGGATTTTACTCACAGTGACGAGCACACTACTTTTTTTTGTAATAAACACCTAGAGCTGTTATTTGGAACCCCTAGAGCTTCCGCACTCCTTTATCCGATTATCCCCGTGATCAGAAGCCAGGCGGAGATCGAAACAAACGCAAAAAAAGTAGATCTACATTAAACCTTTTTACAAGATCCAATAGATACGTGCCTTTAGTAATCACCTCTCCTTCATAGATCCACCTGCAACAGATCCAATCCAAACAAAAAAGCCATTGTTCCCCGTGTTTTCTCCGTCGGTCATTGCCTTTCGTAGAATGACGTAATCCCCCAGATGACTTCCCTTGTTCAAAACAGAGCATCTCGGGATCGAACGGTCGCCGGCTGAGCTAACGACTTGGAAGAAGTTCGAGGAACCCAGGCTCAAGCTTCAGTTCATCGTCGGAATAGGCAGGTTAGGGAAGACTATTTTGGCCAAGCACATGTACGAAGCCACCGGCGAAAAGTTTGATTACTGGGTTCGATTGAGGTTTCCAAGTCGCAGAGAAGGAGCAAGCTTTTCCTCAATAAAATAAAAAATTAAAAGGAAATTCAAAATAAGTGACTTGGGTCAGTTGGGTTGGATATTGAGCTGATTAGTCGGTCAACTTGCATGACTCAGCTTTTTTGTTAGCTCATTTGACAGTTCCGTTTGCCACGTCATCAAAAATCTAACGGTGTTAACGGAGACTAACGGCCGGTGATTAATGGTGACACAAATCGTAAAGTTAGTGGTCAATAAGAAAGAAAAGTAATTCGGGTGGCAAACATGAAAGATTTATATAATTTGAGTGACCAAATGTGTAATTTAGCCTTTTTTTTTACAAACCGAGAATGGCTTCTAACCTTTTTGTTTTAAACTGTTCTATTTGGCCCATAAAAAAAACTGTTCTATTTGGGGAACGAGATTCATTTCTTTTAAGTTTTGTTTTGTTTTTCAATTTAATTTCGCAAACTATATATTTTTTGTTGGAATTTAATTTTTTTTTACACAAAAAATAAATTAATCATACTCCTCAAATTTACATCCATTGTTTAAAAAAAATCATAATTTGGGTTTAAAATGAAGGCAATACAAAGTTCATACATCAAGACTACGTGAACATTCAAAATGGAATGAGCTTGAAATTAGAGAATTGACTATTGAGTTATCACAAGTGAGTATGATGTCTGTAAAGTTTCAACTGGAATGAGCAACATTTCTCCAAGTATCAAGCATTTTCACTAAAGAATTTATAGGATGTGGGAATTTGAAAAACAATTAGTAACTGAGAGTTTGTCCAAATTCAGAGAATCTTGGATTCATAGATAGAGATGATAAATTTGGATGTCTTATTTGAAAATGTTAACATAAAATACATGTCAGACATCATAACCTTCCACAACATGAGTTACTATTTTAGAATTATGACATCTTAAGTGGGTGTGATAAATATTAGAAATTTTCATATCAAGCAAATCCCTATTTGAATTCAAATTGAGCCAATAATCATTATTCCTCGATTCATGTTAGAAAGTTCTATATGAGAAATATATGGTGTTTATATTAAAGATATGAAATTATTGAATGGGGGATTACAATTTTGGTTAAGAAATAACATTCAAACTACCAAATAGAACATCTAGAATAGTTCCCGGCCAACAGGCCGGGTACAAAGCTAGTTTTATATATGATTAAATACATTGGATATTAATTGTTTTCACATTTTTTTAAACCGGCATGAACCGGCACAAACTGGTTATACCACCGGTCGTACCATTCCACTTGTCAAACCGACACAACGGTATAAACCGGTTTGACAACCTTGACTGGAGGAGTCGAGGAATGGCCGAGTGGGAGTGGGAGTCGCCAAGTGAGTGTGGGCGGGAATTTCCTGACTTGTGCTTTTGAACCAGCCATTCACTAAACGATAAGACCAGCGAAACTAGTGGACACCAAATAACGGTAATTTAAAAAAAGTGGAAAATAAAATATCATCTCACTAAATGGATAGAAGAGAGAACGCAGGAGAGTGGACAGACCGGAAACGATACGAAGCAATTGGCCATGGCCACCGGACGTATGATGATAGACTTTCCGATCACTTCATCACTCTCTTCCACTTCGTCTACCTGCTGTTGCAGCCAATCTCCGAGCTTCAACTTCCTCGAGAAGACCGCATTTCCCCTGAATAGTACTACCCGTTGCAGCAGCAGCAGCAATGCCGCTGTGTGTTTCTCTTCTAGATCAGCAAAGAAATGGAACAGTAACTCCGGAGGTGACGTCGATTGCGACGGCGGAGTTGTCGTCAAGAACGAAAACGATGAAGATCAGCCGCAGCAACAACGGCGGCGAGAAAAAGTCGGCGGCGGTGGTGGAGAGGCGAGGAGGAGGCAGAGGAGAGTTATTTGCGAGGTGGAAGTGGTTTCATGGCGGGAACGGAGGATTAGGGCTCAGATTCTGGTGAATTCCGACATCCAATCCATCTGGATAGCTCTCACTGATTACGAACGCTTAGCCGATTACATCCCCAACCTCCTCTCCAGGTTATACCTACCACTAACACTTCTTTTTCCTGGAACTGAGAATCTCCTGGCGCCATGGATGAATGAATCATTCGTTATTTTTAATTCAGTGGAAGAATCCCGTGTCCGCATCCAGGCCGGATATGGCTGGAGCAGAGAGGACTACAGAGAGCTCTTTATTGGCACATTGAAGCTCGTGTTGTGCTGGATCTCCAAGAATTCCCCATTTCTGTAAACCCTTATCTCCCCTCATTGTGTATTACATTCCATTAGTGAAGAAAGGATTCAATGAAGTTAACTGATACGTTTGGATTCAGGCGGACAAGCACGAGCTGCACTTTTCCATGGTGGATGGCGACTTTAAGAAGTTCGAAGGCAAATGGTCCCTCAACTGTGGCACAAGGTAATCCAGCATGATCCCCTAATCGAACAGACCTGCTTTGGTATTTACCATCTACATGGTGATGATGTGCTGTCAATTACCACAGGCCTGGAACCACTGTGTTAGCTTATGAAGTTAGTGTGATACCAAGATTCAACTTTCCTGCCATCTTCTTGGAAAGGATCATTAGGTCGGATCTTCCTGTTAACCTCCAGGCATTAGCTTGTCGTGCTGAAAACCAAGTTATGGCCATGGGAAATCATAAAACGAAAACTGATGAATTGTCAAGATCAACATCCGGAGCTAGAGATATAGAAGAAACCTACAATTCTACGAATTCTAGTCCTGTGCCAGCCTCCGCAGGCGATATCAGTTGTAATTGGGGTATTTTCGGCAAAGCGTGCAGTCTTGAGAAGCGTTGCCTTGTGGATGAAGTACATTTGAGAAGATTTGATGGCCTATTGGTAACTTGATTCACTCTCTGCCCATCACCGTTTCTACTGTTTTTAAGGAGACCTTATTTACTTAGTGGGGTTGTGCTTGATGTCATGGTTCTTCAAGGAAAATGGCGGGGTTCATCGTGGAGTTATCGCTAGTATAACCGTTAAATCTCCTCTTCGAGAAGTTTGGAATGTTTTGACTGCTTATGAGAGTCTTCCTGAGTAAGTATAGTACATCTCCTTTGTTACACTCTACGGATGCCATGCATGAAGATATCATTCATTACGCTAGTTCCTAAATTATGGCGTTGGGACTTCTTTGTAGGATTGTTCCAAACTTGGCAATCAGCAAGATTTTATCACGTGAAAACAACAAAGTTCGAATCCTTCAGGTATAATCTATCTGATGCTTCTTGCTCAAAAGTCAAAATAATGGTTCTTGGAGTAGAATGGCTGTGCGCTTTTCTTGGCTATGAATGTAATGTCTCCTAAGTTTGCACTTGTCGATGACTACTGTGGTTCAATTACTGATCATGAAGTACACGAACCAATTTCAGAATGCTTAGGCACAATCGCTGCGAACTCCAGTTTAGTATGCACACTGTTGAGAAACTGATGATTGCGTATTCTAGTTTGTATGATTCTGTACTTTTTCTTCCTGCAGGAAGGTTGCAAAGGTCTACTCTATATGGTACTCCATGCACGTGTTGTTTTGGATTTATGTGAGCTACATGAAAGGGAGATCAGCTTTGTGCAAGTAGATGGCGACTTTGACTCATTTCATGGGAAGTGGGTTCTAGAGCAGTTGGGAAGTCATCATACATTACTCAAATATGTTGTTGAATCCAAAATGCATAAGGACACCTTTCTCTCAGAGGCTATAATGGAAGAGGTACCTTAGCTCCATTCCTATAAATCATATTTACGGAGCTTCCATCTATGTACTCTCTTTGGATTTGAAAAGAACTGGAATTAGTGGAGGATTTTCTGTCAAGAAGCTTGATTTGTCGGGAATCAGGATGCAGAATTACCTTTCTTTACTCGCTTATGTTTAACTTGAGTGTCAACATTATCTCCAACGGCCCACCAATCCAATATTATCTTTTAAGATAATCTCAAACTTCAGAATTGTTTGTAGCTCCCTCTCATTACTATGATACATCAATATTTTGTTATCGTAGGTTATATACGAAGACCTCCCATCAAACTTGTGTGCAATTCGAGATTATGTTGAGAAAATGCAAGCTGCGAATTCCTTGGAACCAGATGATTTAATCAAGCACTCTGAGCATGAACCTTCCAGTAGCAATCACACTCCAGTGGAAGAGCAACAAGTTTCAGATTCTGGTAATGCAGTTTCTTCAAGACAAAGGCCCAGAGTTCCAGGCTTGCAGAGAGACATTGAAATTCTCAAATCAGAACTCCTGAAGTTTGTGTCGGAACATGGGCAGGAAGGGTTCATGCCCATGAGAAAGCAACTTCGACTGCATGGCAGGGTAGATATAGAGAAGGCAATAACACGCATGGGTGGATTCAGAAGAATCGCATCATTAATGAATCTGTCTCTTGCTTACAAGCACAGAAAACCCAAAGGTTACTGGGACAGCCTGGAGAATTTGCAGGAAGAGGTAGTGATTTGAATGCAGGGTGCCATAGAAGGCTGATTATTTGTGGAACATGACTGTTCTTATCCCCATTTCATTTTTTCGCAGATAAAGCGATTTCAGAGGAGTTGGGGAATGGACCCTTCTTTTATGCCGAGCCGAACATCATTTGAGCGTGCAGGTTAAACTCTATAATAACTTAATAAGTCGCTTAGCTTTGTTTCTTGACATGACAAGTCACCTAACTTCATCCTTCATGGCAATTCATGACAGGTCGTTATGATATAGCTCGTGCATTGGAGAAATGGGGAGGGCTTCATGAAGTTTCTCGGCTCTTGGCACTTAAGGTGCGGCATCCCACTAGACAGCTAAATCTTGTCAGGGAGAAAAAGTTTGACCAGTGGCCATTGAGCAGTGCAGAAGTGGAGGACAAAATCTCTTCTACAAAAGCTGATGTATCTCAAAACACACAGAAATGGCTCACCAAATTGAAAGACTTGGACATTGATTGGGGGGCCTGAGAAAGGTACATCTCCCTCTTCTCTCTTCTCTCTTCTCTCTTCACTCATACAAACACACTTCTAATATCTAATAGATGATATATGAAAAAAATTAATTAATGCAAAAGACAAACTAATAGATACTCCACACAGGTACAACAGGGCTGCTCATTTAGTGACTACTAAAGCCCTGTCAACGACAGTTTGACTATTCGTCGACTGCCACGTTTGGTTGCTTATTGTACATTAACTGTCTATCATCTATGAAAAAAACTCAATGGCTACACAACATCCAAAGGACTTAATTTTGCTTTAAGCTATAGTCACAACTCAATGAACTAATTCCTACCCACGAGTGTTGCAGTGCAAAGAAATTAAAACTTCATATTTCAGCTCCCTTTCAGTTGTGGCTTCTTCCCCTTGAACCCCACTCTGACTGGCCTTCGATATGGTAGTTTAATTCCTCCTTGTTTCCGTAACATTCGCTTTCTCCCTAATTCAGAAGTTTGTAAGGTTTTGGATTTCTTTGAATTCTTGACATGATGCATTAAACCCTGCACCAGTGTATTAAAATGCTGCCCCTGGTTCTTTTCAACCAAGTTCCCATGTTTTTTCACCACTGCTTTTTCTGCATACAACTTGGGCTTGCCCTCATGGTGAAACATGTCCCTCAAAGGCTTCCAAGTTGTTGCTTTGTTCCCACTTTTGCTTTGTTTTCGGTTATCATGATGGTGATGATGGTGGTGGTGGTGGTGGTGGTGATGATGGTGAAAGATGAGCGCCAGCTTATCCTTAAACCTTTTAAACCGTCCAACTGCTCTCTCATGACGTGATCTGCTGTATCTCGTGCTTCTGCTGCAGCTGTCTCCATCTCGACCATTTGTATCATGGTAACTGGACGAAGCATAGGAAGAGCCGCTGTTACTCTCCTCACCTGTACTACTGTTTTGTGATGCTCTCTCCCTAGCGTTGTAATCTGAGCATGAAAAGTTCTCACTGTTGCTACTGCTGTTGCTCTCAGTGCTTATCTGTTGTCGACTTGTCCAATCATAGGAAGTAAAAGAAGAAGAGGGAGTGTAAGAACACGATCTCGCACTTGAGCTCCATTCCTCCTCTGAGCCATTGTCCTGCTGCTGAGATTTTGTATTGAAAGTCCTGCTCCTGCCGTGAAGATTGTCTTGGGCCTTCCTTGAAGATGGAATATGATAGTCAATCATTGCAGGCCTTATGGCTGTCGAATCCTTGAGATGTTTCTTGCGACTCTGTGCCTTGGCCAGACTATGATCATTTGGGTTGGGCATCTGCTTCTCGTTGGTCTCCTTTGCTGCTTTCATGGTTGGAATTTTGGTGATACCATCCATCCTCGGAGCGGTTAAACCATCAACATACTGACATTCCTCCAACGGTCGAGATCTTGTATTCTGTTTCACTAGTAGCCTTCCTGAGACATTTCTCCCATTCATGGTGTCGCTCAGATGAACAACATTCTCATCCTGGAATCCCTGTGAAGAAGATTCAACTCCTCGTGCTGGCGGCTTGGGTTCCTCCAACATTCGTTTCCGAATTGTTTGTCGACGACCATTAGTCTCAACTTCCTGTCTTGTGTCGCTCACCGCTGGCATGGCCAAGTCAGCAGCCCTGCGTAGTTCAACAATACTACTTGCTTGTACTCTACAATCTTGACAACAGCAATTGTGTTGTTGTTGTTGTTGTCGTCCTGGTCTTCCAAACCCATCAACATAACTTTCGGTCGAGTAACACAGATTCGAACCGGTAAGCCAGGGTTGAGACGATGGAGTAACCTGGCTAGGTTTCTGCAGCCGCGGTTGGCTGGCTGTTGTTGCTGATGATGGCACCGGGTTGCTGGCTTGGATAGAGCAGAGACGACATCGTTTAATCCGGGGTGGAGGGTAGTCCGAATGTGAGGAGGAGACAGCGAGTCTGGACATGTCTGAAACCAGTTGCTGCTGCTGCTGCTGCTTAGTAGTGGCGGGATCAGGGTGTAGACTGCAGAGCAGCGTGTTGCGTGGTGAAGGGTTCGATACCTCGCTGCAAGAGAGGTTGTGATGATAAGCACTGTCGAGGATATCCTTCAATACCTGTCTTGTTCTTCCATCCAAATCCAACTGTCAAACATAAACGACCACCCAAAAGGGAGAACGGTGATTCGTTCATTCTTAATATGTTGTTTGTTTAAGAATGCTGAGAGAGAGAGAGAAGGAAAGTGGGGGCAGCGTACCTGAAGAGGCGGAGGGAGGCGGAGGAGGTTGTACAAATCGGATATGGTTTCACGTTCTTCCTTCTTGCTCATTCCTTCTTCATCTTTGTCTTCGTCTTCCATGTCCATGCAATCAATGAAAATCAGTGGCGTCATCAGTTTCTATGATTTGTTGATCCCACAATTTCGTAATGTTGGGCAGCCAAAATAACTTCGTATAAGGATGTAACTTCCTCAATCTGTGTTTCCTCCTTATAACCACCGAATTTGAAATCGGGAGGAGTCACACCGGTTCAATCTTTTATTTCCCACCAGTCTCAAAAAAGAGATGGAGAGTACTTATTCTAATGAGCGATATGATTCGTGTTAACTTCTAAACTACTTATATGATTTGATTTGTATAAGTTTGTAAACTTTTGTCTATTTTACCCAAATTACTTTTATACTATTATAAAATGTATCTAATTTATAATATTAATTTGTCTACTTTTATTATGTAGTTTTTCTACTTTGCATTATTGGTTATATGCTTTATAATATTAGTGATATGATTCGTGTACTTAATATCCTCTATATTATTAAATTTTTACTTTGTACAGTACAACTGGTTTGTATACTTTATATTATTAATATCTAATGCTGTTTTGTATATTTTATATTATTGTTTTATATCTAGTTTGTATACTTTGGAGTATTGGTTTGTAATGCTACTCTTGTCGGCTTGTACTATTAATATGATCTGTATATCATGTCCTTATGATTTTATATTTTTATGATGTGCTTTGTATACTTTCTAATATTAATATTTTCAAGATTTGATTTGTGTACTTTGTATTATTAGTTGGTAATAAAAGTCATATCAGTTGGTATTATAAGTAGTGATTTCTTGTATTATTAGTATATTTTGTTTATAATTGTCACTATGATATGTGTATTTTTATAATGTAATTTGTATGCTTTGTAATATTAATTCATATAAATTTGTGATATAGTTATATACTTTTATGATATTGTTTGTATATTTTTATCATATTTGCTTCTTGTAATACAGGGTTGTATATGTTAATGATATCTTTTTTATATTTTAATTTGTATGCAATTTAGTATTGGTTTGTACTTTTTTTTCATAATTTTGTTATCTATTTCATGGATCTACCAATCCAATCCACTAATTCATTCATGAATCTAATCCATTTACCACCTTTAGATATTACACATACAAAACATGCATAACACATTTAATACACATTTTTCATTGAATTTAATACACATTTTTTACTTCAGTAAAAATGCACATATTTTATGAAATTGAACTAATAATTTAGTAATTTTTTTTATAGTTCTGTTCACTTCTAAACTAGTAAATCTATGGTTTCAAATATAAACTTATGGAGAACTTTTAAACATACTGTCAAATCAAAATTACCTAGACGTATTAATATCTTGACATACCCTCACCACATTTTACTAGCCAAGCAGTCCGAGTTTGTCAGCCTCCAAGAAAAGCATCCGGCCAACGGCTCAACAGTTGGGTAACACTTCTCAGCGTACAGAAGACCCATAGGCCATAGCCCATCAGTTTTTTAGGCAATCAAACTGCTTAAAAAATGAACGTTTCATTAGATAATCCTTGAGATATACACTTCATGAGATAAGATGTGAGGAAGGAAGAAGATACAAAGTATACAAAGTGCAGCCATAACAACGGCAAAACTGGGACCAAAAGAGACGACAATGGCAGCCATAACAACGCTGTCATTAACCTAACCTTAATCTTCAGTATTTCCACCTCCCTGGGACAGCTGAGGTTCTCCTCCCTCAGTCTTCTATATGCAATGTCAAACCTATAGGCGCTATACAATAATACAGAGTACAATTGAGCCTCTCAGCCTCGGCAGGTTTTGTCCTGAGGCTCTCCCAATCCAAATCTCTCCCTGACAATTTCCCATTTCTCTGTAATCCGAAACTGGTCTCTTCACAACTAAGATCGTTTTAGGTAGACCACCACGCCGATCCCTGCCAAGGCGCCTGCACCAGCTAAGAGGCCAAATTGGTAAGATCTCCATTGACTTGTTGTCTCCACTGTCGTTGTAACAGACTCTGGTTCAGTCTTCTGGCTCGAGTCAGCAAACTCCAGATGCAGTCTCAAGGCCTGGCACCACAAGGTGTGATGATGCAAAATTTCAGAACCCATGAATGCAATATAATATCAATGGGCTTCATCATAACATACTATTGTCAGAGGTTTAGGTCTAATAACAATAAAATCCCCATGGCAGTCATGTTAGGGAAGAATTTGGCACATCTTTCTTCTTATATGAGAGCTAGAGCTAATAAGAACTTTTTGCAAGAGATTTTATTGTGTTTATTAAAGCTCATCAACTTTGAGTTAGTAGACCTCGTAAACTGGATGAATGTAGTAGTGTAGTCTATCACTGGGATACGCATGACACTACCTTTAAACCTGCAGATCTAGCATGACCAACAGCACCTATTAAATCTGAATCTGTAGCAAGCAAAACCTTATCACCTTCATCATCTTCATACTGCAGAAAGGAGAAAGAATTAAGTATCTAGCAAACAGAACAAAGACAAACATACTTGCCCATAAAAAAAACCCAAGAACACGTAAGTGTCACTCAGCAAAACATATCTCACCAAAAGATGAGGGTGATCTTGTTCTTCGGCTGCACCAATTCTTTGCAAGACAGCAGAGGCAAGTTCTGCCAAGTTTTCGGTACCTGAGGGAAGTTCCGAAGCCAGATATAATATATCCTCAATTCTTTCAGTCAATGAAAAGCAAAGCAGAGGGAGAAACCCCAAATGACCACTTACTACAATTTACTCGATGAACGTGACCTTTAAGGTCTACAAATTTGAAAGCAAAGGAACTCCCAAGACCGAGGGTTGGGTCGGACTTCCCAAGTTCAGTCGCTTCAGATGTCATCATAGCAGACATTTCACTGAAATTAAAATTAACACAAGATTATTGCAGAAAAAGCGCCCAAGTTTGCGACAGAACAACAACTGAAGCAAGCCAGGGGAGAGAGCGAGAGAGAGAGAGACCTATGTGTCTCATAATCATCAGGTGGATCCGAAGTGAGTGCAGAATCCCAAAACTTTTGCATCATTGAACTAGCCATGTCGTTTACAGCTCCAGCGCTGCTTTCAACCTGGTAAGTTATTCAGAAAGGTCAATTCGAAGGTTTAACAAGCACGGTTAGTGCTCCTATAAAATTTCATCTAGCAATGAGTACCCCCTCAAACAAGCCACCATGTAACTGTTGGAAATTTTTCTTCTTATAAGGAAAGCTATAAGTTGTATCATATAGCACAAAAACAGTATGCTCCAAAAAGAGCAAGTATCATAATTAAGTTAAGTACTTTCCTGGGAAATTTAATACTTCCAACCCAAGTAGTAACGATTCTAATTAGAATTCAACTTGCGCCATATTAAAATTTGTCCACTAAGCCAAGGAAGGCAGAATTGCTAGGAGAATGAGCACTATATACACATAACCTGTCAACTTTCTATGACCAGGAACTCGATACCAAAGGAAGGATGGTGGTGAATGGCTTTTTCACTTCTTCAAAGGTTACCCCCTGACAAAATGTCGCATTTGATATATGAAATTACCATAGAAATTGCAGCATGAGTTATCTGCAGAACATCCAAGCATGCAGCAACCACTCCATCTGCACAGTAAATGTAATTGAATGAGTTTGCTAGACATTACAGCTTCAAATCTTGAAAATGAAGATACTAATTCTGACCTTTATCGACAACAGGAAGATGTAAGAATTTTCCATCATGCATGATATGCAATGCATCAAGGATTGAAGTCTCCAATGTAGCACATTCAGGATTTGGGGTCATCACCTACAGCACAAAGCAAATCTTGAATAAATTGAAGTCCACAACATTCACTAGCTTAGCTAGCATGTGTGACAATATTTTGTGAAAGCATATGCGCCAGATAATGGCAGTTAGGAACTATACACTTAAAGCAATATTTGCACTTAGGATAAGGCACAACAAACGCAAAGAATGATACAGTACATAATTGTTTCTAACCAAGTGAAGCAATTGTGAACAATTTACTTTCATAGAATAACTCTTCCAGACATATATCAAAGAGGGAATAGATCTTTCATAGAAGTAACCATGTAGAGATTATACACCTCAGAAATACTCTATACTAATGTGAGTGGCATTAAACTCTATTAGACATTGATATCTAGTCAGCATACATGGAGGTGCAACCGGTCGCAAAAATATAACACCGTCACGTCTTTAGAATGGTCAAGATTTACCTTTTCAGCCAAAGTTAGCTCAGGAGAAAGATTCTGAGCAACTACCCGCATGAGAATATCCTTTGAGCTGTGCCACGAAAAAACATAAGCAACCAATATACCAGCGTAAATATCCAATCAGTACATCTTGCATCTGAAAGAACTTAGTTGTATACAATTTACGAAAAGAAAAGGGTAATCAGAGTAACATTACGTTAGTATCCCAATAATTTTATTCCCAGTCGCCACAATAGCCGAGTTAACCTTCAAATCTCTCATCTTTTTGGCAGCAACAGAGACAGGATCCGATGGTGCCGCTATTGCAACCCTGAAAATTGTTAAAAAGGCAAAATTGGAAATCCAAATCTATACACTTAATAGAAAATTTCTACAAAACATAATGAAAAAGAACAAATTAATATTAGAAATTACTTCTGGTCACCAATAATCGTTGATAAGGATGGCTTGAACAATTTTTCCTTCAGAGTTTCTATGAATGTTGGAGCTGAAACAACAAGCACGGTTTTAAAACAACAAGAGAATTAAATAAATTATCAGATAGAAGAACAAGAAACTATGCTGCCTTCTACAAAACAGAAGATCATTGACTGCAAGCTCTGTGCTGATAATCAATGAATGCATCTCCTTTGTTGAGATATCACCAAACTAGTTCATGATACCACTCATGCTTAGCTTAAAAGATGGATCGAAGGATAGTTATTAACCAAAAAATGTAAAATTCATGTGCACCCACTCTTCCTATGTGGTAACATATAGCATTGTCAAAGAGTTGGGTGTTAACTGAACGAAAGGGAAAGAAGAGAATTGATACCCCAACCTAATTTCTTGGGGGGAATGAAGAGGTAAGATGTTTGGGGGAATCCAGAACAGTAGATATAGTAGAAAGTAAAGTTTTATAGGTTTTACATCTCAGATAAGATAGAGTAGACATAATAGCACCAAAATTATCAGCTACCAAGATTGTCTTCTTTCTAAGAGAATATAATATATTATTGCTTATGTTATATGCATCAACCACTCATTTGGTAAAGGAAATGGTTTATCTCAATAGGTAGAAATTTATGCTCTAGGGCAGCCATTCTAGTAACTATACAAGATAAGTATCAATGCTTCCAGGAATTGCTTAGACAAGATGAAACTAACAGCCTTGATTCCAGAATGCAAAGTTTGGAAATTTGTTGCTTGAGTGGCAAAACTGGAAAATGACGCTCTGGTTCTTCTAGCCTATTTTCATGCCAAGAACACCATAATCTCTCAGCCAGGATACCATTTCACATAAAAAAAAAAAAAAACAGACCAATGACAATGCCAGAGACAATGGATTAAGTGCCATGCAGGCACATATAAAGGATCTACTATTAACATTGTCATCAATTGGAAAAGAACCAAGGAAAGGAATTGAAAGCATTATCCTCAACAGACTAACTCCATGTATGAAGAATCATTAACTTGTGAACTAATAGTACATAAAGGAGTTGTGTGGAAAAGATGTACAAAACAAACAAACAAATAACCAACCAGGAGCATTGTTTCCCCACTGTCGTTCTTCAACGGCTGCAGCGATTGCAGTTCCCTGCTCAGCTGCCTTTTCCAATCTAGATATAGCATCATAGAGACACCTTGTAATATCTAGTAAAGCAATAACTTCACCATTCTCCACAACTGGAAGGTGCCTGAACTTGCCTGCTCATAAGACAGATGTTACCGTCGAGTTAGCCATTGACGTAATTGTTGAAACGATTTGAACTTTAAAAGTGATCATGCAGCAGAAAGAAAAGAATTTTTTTTTAATTAACATAGAGAGTTACTGATATAAGTTAAGCAAACCAAAATTAAATTATTAAGTAGGGAGGAGACTAACCCTGAATCATCTTCTGAAGAGCTTCAATGGCTAATGCGTCGGATGCAACGAAAATCGGATTCCTCGTCATAATCTTTGACACAATCGTCTGCTCAGGTCTCAATCCCTCGGCTATTACTCTAGCAGCGATATCCTATAAAAAAACAAAAGGAACATACAATGAAATGCAAAATACACAACAAAAGGGGAAACAAACAAGGAAAAAAGATTCACAGGAGAAACCTTGTCAGTCACGATTCCAGAAAGCAAGGCATTTGCATCGGTTAACAAAACGGCGGTGACGCGCCGGGACGCCATCCTTCGACAGGCATCGGAGACGGTGGTGCCTTCAGGTATGGTAAGAGCTTTTGAGAGCCTCAATTTCTTCACCGTCCTCTCCCCGCCAGCAGACCTCCATAGGACGAAGAAGAAGAAAATTAAACAGAGAAATGAGAAAGCCCGGGAACAAATCCTCAATTTCCTGAATTAGAGATATCCAGGAGGAGCCGGAACTTACGAAGGAGAGCTAGGCTTGGAGGAGGTTCCATTGGCGCTGCCGTTTTCGGAGACGGCGACGGAGGATTTCCTGGAGGAGGCCGACAGACCTCGTTTATGGCTCACGCTGCTCCGCCGAGGAGGCGGAGGGATGGCCTGACTGCTCATTTCTCCGACCAAAAAGGAAGAAGGTCGAATTAGGGGGTTTTGACGGTCCTCCCCTTCCGCGGCGGCTATGGATGTTGTGCCGACGAGTTCTTCTCAGGGGGGAAGACGAGAGAATTGAAACCTGTGCGACCTGCCGTGGTCGTCGTCGGAGTTGAAATTTTTTGAAGGCGGAGGCCGCTGAATGGTTTCCTTTTTTTTTTCAAATTTTTTAACAGGAAAAAGAATTTTCCAACAATTTGGGGATTTTCTTGGGGATAGGAAAAATTATCGAGTTCCGGGCGGGGCAAAGTTTAGGCCTTACGTTGTCAGGGGCAGAGCCAGAAAGAGCTACAAATGGGTTCGAGTATGGGCATGGTGCGTGCATTCCACGCCACTCATTCATTTCACTCGCGAGTCAGATGAGGGCGCTCAAAATCTACATTTTACAAAATCTTAAGTAGGGATGGTAATGGGTCGGGTTGGGCGGGTTTTGTCAAACCCAAACCCAAATTCATGGGTTTATCCGTCAAAAAAATCAGGGGTAAAACCCGTTGGGTTTGAAAAACTCAAACCCAACCCGCTGGGTATCCGCGGGTTCATGGGTTTCCATGGGGCGGGTTTATCTAAACTCAAACCCAACCTGGTGAATAGTGTAGCGGGTTTAAACCCAAACCCGACCCAAAACCCGTCAATACGGATTTTACCCGCGTTGACCGGATTGGGTCGGGTGGGTACCCGTAGGTTCGAGTTTTGTTGTCATCCCTAATCTTAAGGTATATCACGGAATCGCTCCATTTGATTTTTGTTACAAATCATCGCTTGTTTTTTGGATTTCCTGATGGATTTGACATTGTTATATTTGTGATTGTATTAGAAAGTTATCTTAGTGCTTTTATTGAGGATTATTTATTTTTACATTATAATATTTTTTATAAAGCAATTCTCATCCAATAGCTTCGTCCCACTATCACAATCATAACAAATGAACATCATTAATGAGTAACAACTTCATATCATACACACAATTAGACAATTCCCTAAGGTTTTCAATGTTGCAACGTATGTTTTGGGATTAATCATGTAGTGCTTGCGTGCAATGATTAATAATAATAAATATTGAGTGCAAAATTAATATGCACTACAAGTTTTACATTAGTTAATGAAATAGGATAAGTTGGTGATTAGTGAAATAAGTAGGGTTAAAATTATAAAAAATCATCATGGACTTTGTACCCCAACACAAATCCCTTGGGGTGGAATTCTCTAGTCCGTGGGGTCCATGGATTTGGACCCTTAGGGGTCGTTTGCATGAGTCATTTGCTCAAATATAGTCATTTGAGAAATATAGACATTTTCGAATGTAGACATTTGCAAATTCATTGTGTGTTAAATAGTTTTTAGATGAGTAATTCATAAATGGGTCATTTATATAATGTTACCATTTTTCCCTTACATTTAATATTTCATTATCTTGTTTCATATCTTCATAAAACTAACCACGTAACAAAATCATTTTGCAACCAACAAAACATATGATTACAAGTCATGTATAATACTTTCTAATATTAAATAATATTTTTATGTTAAATTTCTTTATAAAAGCTAACGACTCCAGGAGTCTCACATTCGGGCTAATTTCGACTTATTCTTGAATGCGGAAACTCCTATGACACGATGATGTAAAGTCACGAGAAAATTATGTAGACGATAAGATGGATGACCTCCCATCACCGCTTGTAAAATTTGGCGGAAAGAAAAAATTCGGTAATAGCCAAAATAATGTTAGGGGAAATAACTAATAAGTAATAGAAATACATGGGTTAAAGTGAGTTTATGGAAAAGTGACAAGGACATAATTGGAAAGTTTTGCTAAATAATGAGTCATTTGGCAATGACTCATAGATAGGAGGCATTTGGAAATGACTCAATAGAGTCATTTGAGACTTTTATATGAGCCAAATGACTTATGCAGTTTTTTGTCAACAAACGAGTCATTTGCTTTCTAATCTTCGCTGTAAAAAGTTTCACGACTTCCGATGGTACAAAGATACATTTTTAACCAGGGTTATGCAAAGAGAAAATGGAAATCAACCTTTTTCGAAAGAAAAGTTTTTAGCTGGTTTACCCCGTCTCTTAGGAGATAAAATCCTAAACAAAATCCAAGACACTTTTAATGGTCAAATTCCTTATGAGCAACTTACATACGGAGAACTTATTAGCTTTATTCAAAAAGAAGGATTACAAATTTGCCATGATTTAAAACTTCAGAAACAAATCAAACGCAAACAAAAACTAACTCGAAAAGAATTAGGATCTTTTTGTGCTCAGTTTGATGAATCTTAGTAAAATATTTCTTCAAAATCTAACTGTGAGGATTGTTGCACCAAACCTCATAAAAAACATCGCGATCGTCCCTACCGATCTTTTAAAACCACGAATCAAAAATCCTATTTTCTAGGCATCCTCACCTAGATAAGGGACCACGATCTAACAATGAAATAAAAACATTACTTGTTTTCGTTGTGGAAAAACATGTCATATTTCCAAATATTGTCGAATAAAAAAGAAGCTCAATGAGCTTAATCTTGATGAAGAGATTCATGACAAACTCACAAATCTTTTTCTCCAACACTACTCTTCTAATGAGGATTCTTCTTCTTCTTCTACTTCTGATAATGATGAGAATCTTCAAGACTTAAAATTTGATGACATCGATGAAAGTTCTGAATCTTCTATCAATGTTTTAGCCAAAGACGGTCTTACAACTATCTCACAAATGAATCAATTAAGTCATTTGAGACCAAATGACTCTAGCAAACGACCCCTTAATGTCCGTAGGCCCCACAGATTTATTCATGCTAAATCCATCAAGCAAATGGCAGATTGTGTACAAAACAATGATTAAAATACCGTACCGGTAGTTTGACCTGAAAACCTTCTACCTGAAGCAAAATCGGTAGGCGATATTTAGCGGTATAATATGGTTGAAGCATGGTTAAACCACGGTTTTAGCATAAAATATCCTATCGCTAACTTTTTCGGTACGACCTCCGGTACGGTATTTCAATCCATGGTACAAAGTCGATGATGCTTAGTTTTTACGTACCAATTCCATGAAGCAAACGAGGCCTAAAAGGCTCATATTCATTCTAGATGGGTTGTTTGAAAGTTGGAATTTCACATAATGGGTTTAGGTTTAAAGAATTTATCATTTTTTTGTCTTCAAATGAAATATTATACTTGTATTAGAGCAGAAAATGGGAACACCAAGTTCAATTGTTATAGATTATTGTCATTCTTAGTTAAAAGTTGAGATTTCAAGGAACCACCAAAATCATTCAATCTCCAAACAAACATATTTTTCAAATTGATGCATTAAAATAATACATCTAATTAGAATTCATAAATTGATTAAATGCATCAATGTAAAAAAATCTAAATTCTAACTACCAAACATTAGAGGCAAACATAGGAGTAGTAAATTCATAAATTGATTAAATGCATCAATGTAGAAAATTCTGACTACCAAACACCAAACATTAGAGGCAAACATAGGAGTAGTAAGACCACCCACAATGTGGGTGGAAAAGAGGGTAATTGGTATGTGGTTTCTTTGGAAAAAGTAATCTAGAGTTGATTTCGTCTCTTTATTTTGATAAGTGGGGAAAGCATAAGAGGGAGGCGTTGCACTGTCAAACTCCTTCTATAGTTCCTTTGACTCTGCCACGACTTTAATTACACTTAGGTGTGTTTATGGGAATTCAAATTGGATTTCTCCTCTTACTATGCTCCTATTTGGCTGCTTCCCTGATTTAGGCATAATTACACATGTTTTACCCCTTCATATCTTGATTGTTTGTTTTGGTTATCATTGGTTCTCGACCTATTTTAAGCTAAGTTGTGCTTCTTTTGTCACATTTCAAGTCCTACTACGTGTGGGAGGGTCGGGGACGAGTTTCGGGACATTCGGAGATCAAAAAGAGCCAAAAGTGGAACATGTTTAAGGTTCACGTGCATAAGGAAATTATCACCTCCCGGTGGAGTGAAAACCTCCCCCAAATCGTGAAGTTCAAGAGTTCACGGGAAGAAGCCAATTACCACGCCCTGAGGCGGTGAAAATCTCTCCCAAACCCTGAAGATAGCAATTTCCATCAGCCTTTGTGCATCTCGCGGTCATGGTCAGACTTCATGGGTTAGGGGCCGTGAAAATTGCCCAAATGGTGCGTTTTTTTGCCGAGATCACCGTTTGCTTTCTATTATCACCCCCCGTGAATAGTGACCGTGCAGTTGGCACTGTTGGGCATATAAAAAGACAACAGCTGGGAGAGAGAAAAATGATTTGATTTTTGGAGAGGAACTTGGTTCTCTCGCTAGAATTTTGACCCAAAACACCAAAGAGGAGTTCTAGAGAGAGTTCTGTAGTCATCTTGGAGCTTAATTGGAGCCTTAGGTTGATCTTTAAGTCAAGGAATCAAGTCTAGAAGATGAAGAAGATAATGATATTGATAGAAGATGAAGAAGATAATGATCTTGAGTTATTTTTGTAATCTCTCTTCTCTCTATGAACTAGACCTCTTCCTCTTAGGTTGATGAACCCTAGGTCTAGATTTTGGTTTGAAATTGATGTATATGACAAATCCTATGTTTGATTGACGATTTTATCTATTTGATGGATGATTTTCATGAATTGCATGATTTTGGATTCCACTTCATGTCAATTGAGCTTTTGACCTAGGAGGGAGATAATCCCCTTAGAGCTCATTATTGGCGTCTTCGGGTCACTCATTCCATATGTCGTTCTGGTGATCCTCTAGGGAGTTGATTCGACCAACCTCCTAATGAGATATGAATCCCTAGGCAGTGGCGGAGGCAGAAAATTGATCAAGGGGTGCTTCATATCATAAAAATCAACTACATAAGAGAAAAGTCAACTATAATGAAACAAAAAGTCAATAACACAATACTCAATATCAAGTGTTGGTAAAAAAATATATGCGTACTATTCCTAATAATAGTTCAACACACGTTGCTTACAATGAACATGGAAGAGATTTCATATTGAGGCATAGTCGAATACATTTTTTTGTGTCTAAACTAGTAGTCTAGAACACAAATCTTGTTTAATATATGTCATCGACACATTGTTCAACCATTCATCGTTCATCCCGTTCCGAAGAGTTTTCTTGATATATTTCATGTATAAAAATGATTTCTACACTTGTTCTTGCAACCTAGGTGTCAACTTGAGAAGTAAACAAACTTTCCACTATTTTTTCTTGATTCAACGAAACAAATATTATTTTTTTGTACATTTTAACGAACTGTAGTTTAAAAATATATGAATTCAACTGATGAACAACAATAACAAAGTGGCGGCAAAACAAAAATAAAAAGGTAGGAGTGTGTTGGTGGGAATGATAAACCCTTTAGTAGAAGTTTAATTTTAGGACAGATTACTTTTATAAATCTAAAAGGACGTGTGTTAGAAAAAGAAGTTATATGCGGTCGAGATGGTGAAGCAAGTGGCTGTGTTTTAACAGGTTAGGGGTTCTAAACCTTCATTTCTCACATTCTTTGAGTTTTGGTTTTCCCTTCCATGGGGGATGCAAGCACCCCCCACCTGTCTGAGTGGCTCTGCCACTGTCTCTAGGTTGAATAGAGCACTGTCCATCCATCAGTTTGCCGTTCCGGGTCAATCCTGAGTGAGTTTATCTCCCAATGGTAGGATAGTGAGTCAATCGAGCTAGGATAGTACTCAACATCAATCCAAAAGGTAGAACTAGGGGATTCAAACCTAAGAGAGCTCCACCACTTGTAATTAGCTGGGTTAGTGGTTAGCTAGGTTAGTTAGCTTAGTTTTCCTAATAAATATTCTAGGTTGGCTAGATAACGAAACCTAACCCGAAGTAAGGTAAGCCTAGATCCTCTTGGGTTGATAAATTTTATTGCTTGCTTACCCTATCCTACACTAGGTTGTCGGTTTTGTTTGACCGTCGATTGAGATGTGTAGTTAGAGGCGAGCCATTCCCCCTCGCGATAGTGATCGTGGGTTCCAAGTTTTGGAGAGGCACATTGGATCATCGACATTCAAATTGCATTTGTCACAGTATGCAATAAGTTCACTTTCAGACTTGTGTAGTATTCGAAGCGCGAGTATGCATAAGCTTAATCCCTGTCACATTGTCCCATGCATAGGAATCTCCACACCATAAACGTGGAAAAGAAAAATTTTATAAAGACCCATATGAACAATCAAGAATCAACTTTTGATCTTAGCAACATATGAGTTGCTTGATCTTTGTTAGGTTTTCCCCTACCATACATTGTGGCAATTACCAGATCTAGTAGGCAGCGAAGGTGATCCTATGGATTTCTCCTTTGAGGAAGTGGAAGCAGTGATTGAGGATCGATCGTGAGGGAGCGTCGTCTCTAGTCTCATCCACCCACGAATTCGGGTACGGGGATATAACCTTTGAAGCTAGTTCTCATGTTAAGCATACAATCACATCAACAATAAACCAAATGAAAGACAAAGCAGAACGAGAAGAAATCAAATCACATATATGCCATAATCAAGAGTTTCAAAGTCAAAGAACCTCTAGGGTTCACATACCTATACAACTAAAGGGACTAGTCGAACATAGGGATGGGTTTCTGGGGATTCATTGATCTGAAACAAAGATCTCGGAACAACTCTAAAAATGACGACCACATTTGAGAAATTGGGTCAGTCACTCTGTCGGCAGAGTAACAGTCCTCTAATGCCTCATATCACTGCTATCGAGTTCTGAATCCTAGGGACCTATTTGTAGGTCTTTGGATGCATCTTGACAACTTCTTGAGGAAGTTTAGGCTCCTTCCAAAATGGCACTTGGACGGCTTTTTTGAAGGAAAATGATGTCATTGCCGTCTTTGTTTTAGAATTTCACTTTTTCTAGTCATCAAAGGTCGGTCTTCTTCAAAATGGCACCCAAAACGTCACTTTTGCATTCTCGAGATCATTAGCTTGTCTGAGCCTTTTCTCCTTCGTCCAAACTCCAAATCAGGACCCATTTGATCCTAGCCGCTAGTATTCTTGTTTTCTTTCATCACATGATGATCCCCCAGGATTCCAAGTGGTACACTAGTCTTCTTTGTCCTGGAAATTGTAAGACACACGGATCTATGCGTGTACGACTGTACGTGTAGGGTTCGTGTATTGTGTATTTGATAGAGAGAATTGGGAATCAAGGTAGAAATTAGGGATTTTGAAGAGGAATAGAATTGGGGATTGGGGATTAGAAGATGAAATTGTGGATTTAGGAGAAGAACAGACAAACGCTTAGGGATAGGTGACGAATATTAAGAGTAGAATTAGGATTGAGAAATACTTTTTAAATACTTATTTGATTGATGCTGAAGTAAGAACCAGGGTACGTATATATAGAAAATTAACCCAAACCCTAATAACTCAGCCTAACTAGTCGGGCGCTTTCCTTGGCCTCCAAGCCCCTATACTTACTACTAATACTACTTAATGATAATACTAAAGGAATAAAGCGTGTTTCTAACAAAAATGTACAAAATGCTACCAAAAGTGTATCAATTGTATAAAAGCATTCCTAGGGTTGCTAGAACACATTTGAAGCAATCATAACATAAATTCAAGGTATTATAGCGATAATAATGGAAAATGTACTAACTTTTGGCCATAATACGGTGGTCTAGAATTGACACTTTCACCTATCATCAATTGGGTTCCTGTCTTGCATCTAAATCCGCCTTGTCTTCATCCGGAGATAGGGGTGTTCAAGGAATGTTCGCCTCTCTAATTTCAGCTAGGTCTGGGTGTTGGAACGAGGAGTGCCTACATTTTCTATTTCCTGGGATGTAGTTCCAAAAATCTTTGCTATTCCACTTCCTCTTGTTGCTATCCCAAATAAACTAGTTTGTCATCATGAGGCTTCAGGGGAGTACTCTGTCAAGTAAGGATATCACTTGGCGGCTCAACTTAGAAGGGGATATGAGCCCTCTATGAAGTAGGTGATAGACCATTGATTGCACATGTTTTACCCCTATTCTTGAGCCGTTTGAGATGTTGATTCTCGTGATTTAAGCCGATTTCACGCTAGGTTGTGCGTTTATGTCATATTTCAGGGCTTAGCGTTGGCATCGAGGCGAAGAAACGAGTTTCGGGTCCAAAGGAGCACGTTTGGGTTGAAGTGTGCTGGAGGAGCAAAATACCCGGCCATGGGCAGAAATACCCGGCCGGGTATTATTCGGAGCAGACCGGGGAAAACCTATTTTGGGTGTTTGAGAAGCAGAAGGGGGCCCGAACATTAAGCATAAATCCCCGGTCGGGTATTCTCGACCCTGACTGGGGATTAACCCCCTGTCCCCGACGGTGCGTTTTGAGAATCCCCGGTCTCCACCTAAAATACCCGACCGGGTATTCAGACCAGGGATCGCGACAGACAGTTTCTTAAGGGAAAAGAAGGGCAAAAGTGAAGAGAAGGTCATCCTCGCTAACTTCGTCCATTTTTCCGTTAATGATGTCCAATCAGCATGCGAACAAGGCAGCCACGTCACTCTACATGATTCGTTGGAATTTGGAATCCAACGGTTAACCCATTATTATTCAACCATTTCTAATCGGTTTAACCTAAGTTCCAACTGAAAATTTTAAGACAGAACTCATAAACCCAAGGTCACTGAACTTTGATGGAACGTAACAAAATGGTCACTAAACTGTGGTTTAGAGTAACGAATTGGTCACTAAACTTTGGTTAAGAGTAAAGAAATGGTCCCCGAGAATTGACATAATCTCATCAAAAGTTTGGTAGAGTGAACCGACACCAAGTAATCCTATGCATATCCTAATAACATCAAGGGTTGAATGAAAGCACAATAAAGATCTGTTGTTTTGTCTTCAACCACCAAATTTCAAGTTTGTAGGAATATGAATGGCTAACTTCAATGGACCACACAGTGATGCGAAATGCTTTCACATACAAAAAAAAAAATCCTTTCTATGATGGCTGCCATGCTACAAAATAACCATGTTTTCTTATCTTACACAAACTAACCATCTATGTGATGGTTGCCCTTCTACTAAGTAGTCAATTAACTACCCAATTGCTCCATTCCTCCTGCTACTTGCAATGTTGGGTTCATTAACAGATGGAGTCGCCATAAAGATCATCCCTTCTCTAGATGGACCAGTAGGTGGAGCTGCTCTTGGAGAACCCTACACACAAGGTAGGGTTAGAATGTGTAATTCTTTGTCATAAAATCAACCAAAAAACGGACACTAAACTTACCATATTGGAAGCTGGTGTCATGGGAGGAGTTGGATTGGTTTGAACTGTTTTGTTTACTTTCTTCTATATACATCATAAAAGAAACATAAACAGTTTAAACATGATCACAAAAGGAACCATCAAACCATCATTAACATAAAAATTGAAAAAGACATAAAAAACCAACCTGTGTAGTTTTTTTCCCAGTTGGCTTCTTGTTGTGGAACCTTTTTTATGTCCTTCTGCTCCGCATTCAGTACATTTGATGGTGACTAACTTCCTTACAGCTTTGCATGAGGTTCCTCTCTTGTTTTGGCTCTCCACCTCCCATGCCTCTAAACGTCTTTTAGTTGTCTTTCTCTCTCTCTTGGAAGGCTCAAATATATGAGCTCTGACATGATCCATCCCGGTCCTAATCCATTGAGTGTGGTCATTTTGAGGAGTGATTGAGTATTTGTAAGCTTTCATGTATGTTTCCTTTTTGTAACACGAGTGGACATAAGCCTCAGGTTGCTCCTTGTTCAGGTTAATACAACTGATTCCATGCACACAAGGTATGCCTGTGAGCTGCCACCTCCCACATGCACAAGTCATTTTCCTCAAATCGACCACAAAATTTCCCCTTGGATTTTGGAATTCATATTCAATATTTCCATTGTAGGTTGGTGTGCACCAAATAGCCCACTCTCGATACTTATTAAGCTTCTTCAACGGTTTTGGACAAATGTCACCCACAAACTTCTCCATTGCTAATCTCTTCTTCCATTGGCGTTTCATCAGCTTGTATCGAATGTCTTCAAGCATAGAGATAATTGGAAGACCTCTCGCATCATAAATATAGCTATTAAAGCATTCGCTTATGTTGTTTACACCAATCTCACACTTGACTTCAGTTCTGTAAAATGCCTCACACCATTGTTTGGGAGGCCTCTCAAGCAACCATTGGGCTGGCGTTTGATCCCCAACCTTATAGTTCTCGCCATCCTTCTCAATTAACTTCATCCAACTCCTATACTCCCCTTCATAGGTTGAGCTCGCACACCCCCAGAGAAGTTCCTTAAGACGCTTGGATCTCGAAAATTTCCCACTGAAGTTAACATACATATGCCTTACACAAAATCTGTGTTCGACATTAGGGAAGCTTGTTTCAACTGCATTAATCAACCCCTGGATATTTCAACCATAATTCAACAAAGAGATGGAATAAAAAGAATCAAATAACAATAAGTATAGATAACAGCAAACCACAACATAAAAAGTGTGTAACAAATCAAGTCAATGTCTTCCAAACCTTTTGTCAATCTGACATGAACGTCCAATTGCTAGAGTTGTCTACTTCCAAATCTTTTGCAACCAATTCAAGGAACCACTCCCAGGTCTCTTGGCATTCTTTTTGTACTACAGCCCATGCAACCGAGAATATGCAATCATTTGGGTCGATTCCCGTAGCAGTTAAAAGTTGCCACCCTGGCACACCTCGCAAGAAGCATCCATCAAGTACAACTAATTTTCTGCAGCCTTCCTTGAAACCTTGCTTCAATGCCGCCAAACACACGTATATCCTATCAAAAGTTGTACAGTGCAACTCAACCACAATAGTCGAACTCGGATTTGTAGTCTCCAAAGTGGCCTTATAATCGAAAATTCTGCTGAACTGTTTTTTGTCCTCGCCATGTAACAACTCTACTGCAACATGCTTAGTTCTCCATGCTTTCATTCGGTTGATGCTGAGTTTCATATATGTTCTAACAGTGTGCATAACATTGACAAGCGACCATGCAGGATCGACCCGAGAGCGTCCAAGGTACTTATTGGCCAAGAATTTTGGATTGGCGAATCTCGAGTCTTCTTGTGGTGTGCAATCATGTTGTAGATTCAGTTTCTTAATATGGATTGTGCCATCCTTTCCATAGGCACTAGCTCAAATGTAGAATGAGCAGTTCACATTCACCTTGCAATTGCAGCCGTTTTTTGTCATTCTTTGCAAAAGTAATTGCTCGCCTTTCTCTGACTGCAATACTCTTACAAGCATCTTTTAGTGTCTCCATACTTGCAAACAACATTCCTACACTAGTCTCAGGATTTTCCATGTGCCTCTCAACATTGAACTCTGGAAAAACAGTAGCAGAATCATCTTCTTCGCCATCACGAACACATCCTCTAGGGTACAAAAACTCATCCTCACTATCAATCTCCAGCTCGGAATCAATTCCAACCTAGTCAGAAGCCTGTGGATCAAGCCTACTTAAGTTTCTTGAGGATGCTCGTCTTTCACCCCCTGTTTGACAACTCTGGCGTTTACGTCGAGCATGTGTAGGGGGAATAGAAGGTGTAGTGGTAGTTGTCGATGGCGGCTGCTCGTCCACTCGGTCCTCCAAGTCAGAGTCATCGAACACATCCACGTCATTATCTTTGAACGCTGAATAAAGAGGAACATCTTGATCCACTCCCTCCTCAATATCATTGGCATTCTCATCCTCATCTCCATCCGCTGATTCATTACGTTCAACTAGCCCATGTGCTTTAGAAACAAAACTTGGCGGTTGAGTAGGTTCTTCGTAGTTAACTTGAGTAAGACGTGAGGCATGTCCTTCACTTGCAATTTCAGTTGACATTGCGTTAGCCCTGTCCGAGATGAGATGGTTGATAGAGCGCAGAGCTTGCCGGCGGAGTTTTTAATTTTAGGGTTTTTTTGGGAGACAAAAAAAAAAACAAAAGACGATCGATAAGCAATCGAATAGAGAGGAAATATAAAGGGAAGAAATAGGGAAAAGAGATGGGATGGCGGCGCGGTTTCTGTAGTAGCGGCGCCGACTGGAATTTGGAAGGTTGGGAGAATGGGAAAGAGATGAAATAATATACTAGTTCTATTGTACTGGAGAATTTTGTTTTTTGTTCTTTTTAGGGTGATGGAAAGTTAGGTCACGTGAATGGGGTGGGGGAAGGGGCAGAGAATATAAATTGGGTTTGGTGTATGAGAGGTTTAATCATTTATAATTTTGTTTAATGGAAAGCTTAGTGGTTTGGTTTAGGTCGGGTAAGAATGGGTTAGTGGTCAAGTTCCAAACTCCAACGAAGCAGGTAGAGTGACGTGGCTAGTCTTGTTGGCATGCCGAGTGGACCTTTTTAACGGAATAATGGACGGAGTTAGCTATAGTGACCGACTCGTTACCACCAATAAATTCCAGTGACTAGTTTGTTACATATGAAATCTGAGTGACGAGTTTATTACAATTTACATAATTGAGTGACGGTTTAAGTAATTACCCCAAGTTAATACAAACTTCTTATAACTCGGGATCATAATAAAATGGTGCGTGCGTGTATGAATTAATCATAATAAGACGACTTGCTATATAATGTTTGTTTCCATAAGCCAACCGTTGCATAAGCTTGTGGTTGAGTTAATACATTTTCAACCACAAACAACAGTACTGTCCGAGAGATCTATCACAGATTTTCACAATTTCAAGGCAGGGGAAATCTGAAGCTTCCTGTCTTCACCACCCGTAATTACACGGTCCCCTTTCCACCAATCAGCACATAGCACACTGTGTTCACTCGACTCAATAACAGTATGCCCCTGCACGTCAACAGTCTGCCCCTGCACGTCAAAAGTATATTATATACTCGATCCAATTAGCTTAATTGTCCCACTCGTAAGCAATGAAAGAATGTCAAACTGAATTTGCTTGAGAAGAGATTATGATACCGGATATCTGATATCCCACACCATGACTCTGCCATCAAGGGATGCAGACAATAAGTAAACTGCATCTTTACAGTGCCATTGGCATGCTGATACCCTATCATTATGCGAAAAATAATCGAGCACAGGGCCTGCACGGATAACAAAGTGAGCATGTCAAAACTAAAACCTAAAAGTCGCTTATTTTAACAAAGAAAAGTCACCAGAATCATACCTGACACTTTTAGATCATATATCCTAAGCTTGCCATCAAATGCTCCTGCAGCCAGGATGTTTGGTCCCAATCCGCCTACACTAAGGCAGGTGAAAGATTTTACATAGAACTGCAAGGAAGAACATTCTTAGTGTGATCAGACTTCAAACGGAGAAAAGGAGGAGGAGATACAAGATGATACATTCCCACATACTTTGGTTGACACAGGGCTGCGTTTCTCAAGATCCCATTCTCTGATAGTACCATCCCAAGATGCAGAATAAATTGTATTGTCTACTGGCCAAGCCACTGATGATACAACTGACACATGACCCTCTAGTGAACAGACCAAATTATCCTGCATGCAATATATATATTGTCAGATATGAAGAGTCCACTTCGCATTTAGCAAAAGCTAAAACAAACACACTCTACACCTCCAACTGAGATTCTTTAGCTTCACATTCAGTTTTCCTCTTCTTAATCGACCCTGAGTAATCTTACGAGGCAGCTTCATAAGTCTCCCACACCTTGACTGTTGTATAGAAAGAACCAGAGCAGAACTGTTTATAAAATCAAATGGAATTGGTTAATTGGCATAGTCACATCAGTAGGTTAACATTATATTAAGGGTAAAGAGAGAAAAACGAACCCTGCTCCCTGATGGATTTGCAGCCACACGCCATACACCTTTAGTAGAATGATCACTCAAAATCTTGAATGGCTTAATCTTACGAGGAAATTTCTCAAGTTCTTTTGTATCCAACTTTTGGGAGGGAAAAACGAACCAATAATTCATCAAACAGGACTTGGATCATTGAAAGCAAAAAAAAAAAAAATATATATATATATATATTAAAATAGGAGAAGATGTTAATACAGTTACCTTCCACAGTCTGAGAGTATTATCTTCTGAGGCAGTAACCAGAGTTGCATCATTATCTGCATAAGCAAATTACACAAATCACATTACTAGAAGCAAATGGAAGAAAGCTCATATCTGTACTACTCATTTTCCTTTGGGAATACAGAGTGGAACACTCTAATAACTAGTGTTGTTTAGTGAAATGGCTTTGTACTAATTGATGTATGCTTAAAAGAATAACACCCCACAAGACAAGTCCTTATAAACCAGGGCAAAAGTCTTTTGTCCAATCCGGAGTCCACAACCTTGCAACTAGAATGGAAACAATTGAAGTAAGATAATCCCCCTAGACCAAACAAATGGGATCTCATCTATCAGTTTTCGGAAGCAAAATAAAGCAGGTGCTTGAGCTATACCTAATGGGTTAAGGATACTGACAGAACTAATTGAACCAGTGTGCCCTTCAAGTATATGAGTACATTCACCAGTATCGTTCCACAGCCTGAAGGATAGAATGAAAAAGTTCGCACGAGTCAGTTCTCTTAAAGCTAGCAGCTAAAACAAAGATTTGTCTGATTAGAGGGGAAAAGAAAAGGTTTGCACGAGTCTGTACCTTCCCTTGCCATCTTCGCATCCGGTAACTATGAACCTGCAACCAAGCAAGAAGCAAATCCGTTAACAGCCAGCCAAATCAACTTTTGAGTAGCAGAGGGATTGCCTGACTGACTGCAGGCTGTTGAAAATCAAAAGAGCGGTGGATTTTTACCTAGGACAAGAACCATCTACTGCACTGACGGAGCCGCCATGCTCTGAAGGCCGCCTAGACATCGTGGTGATAGGAAGAGCATATTCAATCTCCAAATTCTCCTCCTGCCAATTTCCACTGAGCAACAGAACGAAAAAAGGGGGGGGAAAATGAAGCAGCAATTGATAACCAGAGGGAAAGAGATTTTCAAACTTACAACGTAAATCTCATTATCAAGAAGGAATTGGTCGAGGCGGGAGATAGGAAAAAGCTTTCCATGGATCAGAAAAACAAAGGGCCGAGAATAAGATTTCCCTGTCACAAACAATACACAGCGGCGGACTGCTTTTAGCGAAAGTAACAGAGGAGTCAATTCTAGGACGAGAAGAGATGAACATAAAGTGAAGTTTACGAGATTTGAAGTGATCGTTGACGACAGTGGAGAGGTCATCATGGGTGAAGGTAGTCGAGATAGTATGGTTGAACGTAGGAGAAGCTCTGTACGGGAGTTCCGAATTCGTGAAGAAACGAGCTGAAATCTCCCGCGGTTCCATCTCGACAATAGGCAACATAAGATCCTTGAACGAAGAAGGAACTTCGAACTGGGGACCCATGTCCCTGAAGCACTCTTCCATGTCGACGTCCACTTAATGCCGGCGGGAGGAAAGAGGGGGTTGGATCGGAGCGGGAGCGAATTTAGGGTTAAGGGTAGAAATACATCAGCGGCAGCGGGGGTGTCCTAATCCTATACCTAGATCAAGGGAACTTTTTTTCCTTTACCTCGGCCTCCATGCATGGGCTTATAAACCAACTGGTTCGCTGTTAGATTTCTTAAACCATCTCCAACAAAGAATTGGAAAAAAATGCTAGAATGCTAAATGGATTTGGCATTTTGGCATCTTTAAAGTTGTTTTTTTTTTCTCCAACAAGGAATGCTAAAATGCCAAAATGTCAAATATTCTCTTTTTGTGATAATGTAGTTTAGTGTATATTTCATCATTTTAATAAGATAGTTTGTAAATTCTTTATATACATATAGTAATAATTAATTAAGATGAACGATTTGATATAATTATTTTTTTTATTTTGACATAAAATAATTTAACATTAAATATGATGTCATTAATAATTAAAGCACAATAATTTGTGCAATGATTTTACCACATGCGTATTAACACGTATCTGAGTTTTATTTTCTTAAACTATATTTTAAGGAGTTTGTTGCACACCTTCTATTTGAGTGCATATTTCACAATTATTATTTTGATTATCTGATTTGTCTTGAAACTCTCCTATTTTTTACGGTAGGAAAATGAAGGGGGCCCATTATTCTGGCCACTTTTCTGCTTGTGCGGGTCTGATTCGTGGAGAAAGAGGGGCCCATTATTCTAGCCAGAATTTGGCTTTTTTTTCTTCTTCTTGTGTTGGTATTTGGCCAGGAAATTTGGCTTTTTTGGCTTTCTAGCCGTTTGGAATTATTGTTGGAGGAGAGCATTTATAATTTTTGGCTTTTTGGCCATGTTGTTGGAGATGGTCTTAAAACCGTGTTTTTAATATACCAGCACAGAGCTCGGATGGTTGGCGGGGTAAGTTTGACACTTAACAATGGCAACGGGGCATGATCAGGGCGGATAGTATCAAATCCGTGCCCTGTTCAAAATGATTGACGATTTTTAGCGTTCAACGAATAAAACTTTGTCAATATATTATTGTTTCAAAAGAAGAGTTGTAGTTTGGTGGTGTAGATGTTTTCCTAAATTTAGTTAACTATTTATTATATCTGGGTTGAACCACCATCCCCACAACATGTTGTTTGTTTTAATCTCTACTAAATAAAAAGATTTAATATGGGATGATGGGTTTCACACCTAGAACTTCTTGCACACAACAAACAGCTAAACCAGTTGTGCCAAGACCACTTATGACATTTATTCAAAAAAACAAAATATTATAATACAAACTGCGCGCAGAACTATTTACGACAGATACTTGTTCTTAGTGATGATTTCATGACAGATCTCATGACATATATTTTGCTATGACATTCAATGAATGCAGACAGTTAGGGGTAAGGCTGTTAAACCGTTTGCTGGTTAGTTGGATAACCGCAAAACCGAATCGTGAACCCCGGTTAATCGGCTAACCAGCAATCGGAAAAACCTGCAGTTATCAGCAATTTCATCTTCTTGACCTCGTCATCGCCTAGCTATCATCGTCTCGTTGTCATAATCGGCTCGTCGCACTGCCATCATCGTCCTCCCAGTCCTTAAATGCCCTCGTCATTCTTCAAGAGTCCTTGCCGAAACTTGCTGTTGCAACAGTAACACCATTTTCAGGGGTTACTCTCGGTCACCAGCTAACCGACTAACTGCACGACATCGAAATGGTGGCTGTAGCGGCTAACCGACAGCGTTTCAGTCTCGACAGTTCGGTTTAACCATAACCGAACCGCTTGTCGTCCCTAGTTAGGGGTGGGCGACTGGCGTATCTTTAAGTAAAGAATGCCCGCCCATTTACGAATTTAGTTCGCGGTCAATCAACTTGAAGGGAAGCTGACTTTGTTAACTTCCCATGAAGATTGACAAACAACCCAGTTTGTCAAACCCACTGTAGCTTCACCAGATAATGCAAGCCTACATACCAAGTCAAATGTAGCAGGCAGTAATTAAAAACGGGAAATCTTGTTGCCGTGGAAGAATGGAAAGAAGGAGAATTCAAGAAGGGTTCCCTTTTTCTTCTTTCTGTAACATAGCTAAAAACTGCTTCTGTTGGATTGTATCAATGCATTTATTCACAGTTGGGACATCTCAACATCGAAGAAGCCTTCCACTGGGTTGCTGTTAGAACCATCGGGCTAAGTGGGTAGTAGTGAAAAAACTGGCGGTGCATGAACAATAGATCAGCAAAAAGAACCCAGCAGTACTATGATGAGACATCTTTCTCGAGCTTCTCAATTTCTTCCTGCCGCTTCCTCTCGGCCTCCTGAAGCTCTCTCTCGGCATCCTCCTGTTCTTCGATTTGGTCAAGATCATCGAATTCCTTAGTAGCAGATATAGCTCTAATCACAGGATCTCGTAGCTCGCCGATGATCCCACCAACAATTTTGTATTCTTCTTCGTCTCCAATCAAAAACAGTCGCTGGTCTGGTCCCGACGTCATTGGAATGTCAACTGCCAGTAACCTCATATCATACTGTTAGACGAATGGGTTTTCGGTCTCTGGTTTGGCCTTTGTTCTGGCCCATGTTGTCTCGGCTGTATTTATCTATCCATCTTGTAATTGGCCAAAGCCCATGCAAACTACACTATACGTTGCCATTAGGGTTTGCTAGGGTTAGGATAGTATAAATATGGCTGTGTAACCGAGTGGAAACATTAAGCTGAATAAGAGATCCCTATTCCCCGTGGACTAGTCGGTATTGCTCCCTATAATATCGGAAACCACGTAAATCTGTTTGTGTTTTCGTTTTCAGCTCGGTAGGTATTCTAACATGGTATCAGAGCTTTCGGGAATGGATACGTAGAAGATTTCACTACGTCTCAATCACAAGAACTATGCTTTGTGGGAATTCCAATTCCGTGTCTTCGTTGAGGGACATGGTCTGCTTGGCGTTCTCAATGGAACCACCCCGAAGCCGCTAGCCCTGGCTACTGAACAGGAAATTGCCCGCTGGTGCCAGCAAGATGCGAGGATCCGATCCTGGATTCTGGGGTCGGTTGACCCAACGATCGCGCTAGGACTTCGTCTGCATACAACGGCCCTCGGGATGTGGTCGCATCTGGCCTCCACGTACTCGTCTGTCAATCCCGCACGCCAGTTCGAGCTTGAATGGGCTCTCGGCCGGCTGGAACAAGGTAATAAGGATGTCACCGCCTACTTCAGTGAAGCTCAGGAGCTCTGGATCGAACAAGATTTGCTGACTGCTACCCTTCGCTCCAAGGAGGCATCTGCCGAAGTTCTCGAAGATCGGCAACGTTCACGTCTATGCCAATTCCTCATGAAATTGCGGCCCGAGTTCGAGGCCATCCGCTCCACGCTGCTCAACCGGGGGGACCTCAAGTTTGATGGCGTTCTTGGCCTCCTCGTCCGCGAAGAAACGCGCCTGCGTACCCAGGCGCAACTTGATGTTCGTCCCGGTGAGCGCGAAACTGTTTTTGCTGCAGCTGCTGATCCCAGTCCATCGCTGCTGCTGTCCAGAGGCCTCAGTTTCAACGCCGCATCCCGACGACCGAGCTCGAGTGCCATCACTGCCACGAGAGAGGCCACCTCCAAAAGCACTGTCGTCGCAATAATTTTTGCGTGTATTGTAAACGCAATGGCCACATCGTTCTTGACTGCCGGTCGGCTCAGCGAGCTGCTGCTCGCACTGCTTCTGCTGGTGCCTCCACTGATCGCCTAGCCTTTGCCCCTGCTGATCGCCCAGCATATGCCGCCCAAGCTCAGGTCACCGCCACGCCTGGGCCTGCTGTTGATGTCGCCACGGTCGAGCAGGTCGTGAACAGCGCACTCCAACGCTCTCTCCCGGGGGCGATCAGTAGCGCCTTTGCTGCCCTACCAGCTACAGGTAAGCCTCAACCTTGGCTTCTGGACTCGGGATGTTTTAATCACATGACCAAAGATGCTCATCAATTATGTGATCGCACTCCTGTTCATAACATGACTTTATGTGTGGCTAATGGCCAAAAGTTAAATGTGCAAGGAATTGGCCAGGTTAACACAACGAAAATAGCTTTGCCTAACACATTGCATGTCCCCGCTCTTGTTCCGAATTTGGTTTCCGTAGGGCAGCTAACCGAGCAAGGTTGCTCTGTGTTATTTGAACCTTCTGGTTGTGTTATCCAGGATCTGAAGACCGGGAGGCAGATCGGACGAGGGAGTAAGCAAGGGCGAGTGTTTCATTTAGAGGAGCTCTCGAGTCGATCGGGGGCCACGCCACCAGCTAGTATTCGTCCCGTCAGTAGTCCGTTCTCTAGGCCTGTCAGTAGTCCTTTCTCGTTGGTGTCTAGTGTTGTTGATTCTGTTTCCCGATCAAAAACAACATGGGAACTGTGGCATGCACGTTTAGGTCATCCAAATTCTGTTCGACTTATGTCTATGTTTAAACAAAACTTACTCGGTCCTAATAAAGGTGGTGTTTCCTCTGTTCATAAGTGCACTAGTTGTATTGATGCTAAGCTCAAAAGCATTTCTTTCTCCCATAGTCAAACTGTGATTTCAGAACCGTTTCATATCGTGCATACCGATCTTTGGGGGCCTTCTCCCACTGTTTCTCGTCATGGTTTCGCTACTTTGCTCTTTTCGTGGATCATGCTACTCGGTTCACGTGGGTCTATTTTCTTCATCTTAAGTCTGATTTGTTGGCTGTTGCCTCCGAGTTCTTGAACATGGTTCGCACCCAGTTTAATCGTCCTGTCAAAATTGTTAGGTCCGACCCTGGCGGAGAATTTAGTTCCCATCCGTTACGTGATCTCTACCGCTCCCTTGGTATCTTATGTCAGAAGTCTTGTCCCGGTGTCTCGCAGCAAAACGGGCTTGTTGAACGGAAAAATCGCCACGTGGTTGAGCTGACTCGAGCTCTGCTTCTCGACTCCCACGTCCCATCGATTTTTTGGCCTGAGGCCGTGGCCACTGCTGTTCGGCTCATTAACTATCAGATCACGCCTATCCTTGATCACCGTAGTCCGTATTTCACTCTGTTTTCTAAACATCCGGACTATACTCGTCTCCGTGTTTTTGGGTGTACTTGCTTTGTTCTCACTCCTAAGAAAGAACGGAATAAGTTCTCTTCCAAGG